GTGCATGATAGTTTAACTTTCCCCCGGGACAAACTTGACCTTCATTGGTTGGGTTTTTATGGCGGTCAAGTTGTAGATCCTGGCTACACAGGAGTTGCAGTGGTGGAAACGAGAGGTGGGAATAGTCCCGTAACCCCCAGAGGGTAGCTGCTGTTTTGTTGAGAACCGTTTTCTATCAGTAAAGCCGAACCCATCACGCTAGGAGGCAGTCGTGCAAGACCATCCTTATGGAGACCTCCCTTTGTCTTACACAATATTATTTCTCGTCTAACGGTAGAAAATAATTTATTATTCCTTTTACGATATTGGTTGGTCTCAATAGAAACTTGAGAAAATCTAAACTAATGCAGTTTGGTAGTTTTTAACATTTTTTTACAATTTAACTGAAACAGCAGTGTAAGGCGTAAGTATACAGTGGTAAAAATCAAACCATTGACATTAATGCAAAATTGTCTGAAGCGTGAACACGGCTTTCTAATTTCACCATGACCTAAAGTTCGGCCAAACGGCTCGGTCAAACGGCGTTATGGTTAACATTGAAAATTACTATTTTTCTTTACGCAAATGAATCGTACACCTACCTAGTAACGTAAATGTAAACATGCTTCAATTTAAAACAAGGTAAACCTACATTTATTCATTAAACATCGCCGAAATCCCCGATAAAAACAGACCGAATATTGTTTTATAATAAAAGCAAAAAGCTTTCCCGGGGAAGGTAAATATTTACCTCTTACCACACTGTATAAAATCTCCACGGATATTACGCAAAGATTTAAACAAGTTCGCAAGTGAGCAGAATGTGGGGATTACGCGAGATTGGATCGCCCGCTTATATCTCCCAGTCGGCCAGTCAATAGGCAAGTAAAGCCAACACTAGACGGCCAAGTGGGAAAATTATTTCAGCAGTGAAATTCCGTAACAACAAACTCATTTCCAGCTAGCAATTCGGTTTATCACGCGATAAAGATAGTTTAGTTGATGGACATTTTCCTTCTTTTGTGGCAAATACATGAGTATTTATAAAGAAAATGACTAAGGTAAGGTATTTTTTTTATCAAGAAAGTTCCAACTTTTATAATCTATCTATATAAATAAAAATGATTATTGATGTTCGTTAGTCTGATTAAAACTCGAGAACGGCTGGGCCGATTGAGCCGATTTTGGTTTTAAAATGTTTGTCGTAGTCCAGGGTAGGTCTAAACGGTGAGCAAATACGCGCGCGATATTGTTTTTCTGTGACAGACAAAATTCCACGCGGGCGAAGCCGCGGGCGGAAAGCTAGTAATAAAAAAAAATTACAATCAAACGTGTAGTTAGTGAAAGCACACATTCAGTTTTAGAATCTATATCTGTTTTAACATTGCCAAAAATTTAGGAACTGTGCTGCACACACACAAAAAATTACAATGACCATAGTTTAGGCTTTCTTCTACTTCTACCAAAATAAGACTGGAGCATTTTTTTGTCTTGAACTCAATATCCAGACATATTTAGAGCTATGAAATTGTTAATTTCACAACTTTCGATCCCTAAAAACGAGTTAATACAGGCCACGGGAATTGTTTTATGCGTCTCCTTACGTGGACGGATATCTTTTACGATCTGCTAAGGCGTAGCAGCGGAGCGAAGTGATTTACGGCGAGGCTAGTCAAGCGAACGCGAGGGATGCCACTAGCTCATCAGTTTTCCGTTAGGTGTCTTTATGATATTTATTTGGACATAGTATAAAGCTTTAACCACACCAACGCGTGCAGTTCGCCATCGCCGGCGCGATCAAAGGCCAATGACAGTTTGCGCGACCCATGACATTTCACGCGACCTGTCATTTTCCTATGATCGCGCCGGGCGATCTGCGCGCGTTGGTATGGTTGAAGCAAATGAGACGTGACGTAAAGATAATATAGTCATCATCATCAGATAATTTAATCTCTACTACAGGACGAAACTAATTTACCAGAGGCAAATGGAGAATTTGGCCTACAGTGTCGATATCGATAGTGTACTGGGGAGGTCACATGTATAATTATGTCAACGTGAAATTGTGAACAGTCAGTTTATAATATAACGCGTTAGATTGTAAACTAACAGTGGGTTAGGTTAATGCATTTTTTCCCCGAAAAAAAAAGGTAGGATTGTAATTTAACTACGTCAGATTATAATCTGACGGAATTCACAATTTTACGGTAACATATACAAGTCACGCACACGGAAATACAAAATGTGAATATTGGTGCCCTCAGAAAACCTCATTTTACAAATAGCAAACAAGTACACTTAAGATTGCGGGAAGATAGTTGTTGGAATAAATCTCTCAATTGGAGTCCAATAACATTCGCAGAAACAAATACTGTCGTCTCAGATGTTGATTTTGTGAGGACCGAAGACTAAATCCTCGTCTTGTTTGAGATAAACCTTCATGGATCGTTTAACCAAGAAATAAAAAATGATACTTACGAAGCGATCTAAGATATCTTGGTAACGTCACTAGTGGCACTTATCTAGAGCCTTCCGGGAATTCGATCACGTGTCGCAGAGCGATAGAGACGTCCAACCGATTGTGACTCGATTCGATAAAATCGGAAGTCACGGCTCTAATTAGATCTAGGATTTAGACGGATTTGTTTTCCGAAACACTTCACTACACTTTTGTTTGTGTGACGCATTTTACACATGCTCACTTAAGAAATAAAATTTTAAAACAGCAAGATAACACAAATAATTATGTACCAAAATAAAACCCTAATTACAATACCAATACTTATTACACCGGTACGATTTACGCAAAGTATTAATTATTAAGATACGTATAAAAAGTACTCGTACTTACTTAAGTAACAAACAGGCAAGTTATTTTGACACATCTATTTTCTCAAATAGAAATAGGTAGGTTATGGATACCATTTTCACTCGCAATGCCACACTTTCTTGCTGAGTAACTAACTAGGATAGGTATTAGTCGATTTCTATAAGTAATACTAATTCTATTTTTTGATAAAAATCACCTAATACCTATAATATTACCGTCTATGTATGGGGTGACAATACATACCTACCCACGCAGTCGCTTCGTACTAACACGTGGGCGACAGCACCAAATGATAGGGGAGCAAAGCATTTTTTCTCCCTTACGAAATTATCGCTGTTTTGAGAAATCTCCCGCCATGGAGGTGATATTGACAAGGGGGTCAGGATTGTAGCCGCGGACTTAGTTTTGACAACAACTGGATGGCGCATTTGCACATTTCACATAACTTATTATCTTTCACGTAACTGAGGTAGATAACTGAATACGATATTTTAAGAGTTATTCTCCTTGATAAATAGGTATATTAAAGATGTCACAAAATGCTATGGGATGATTACTTATTTAGTTAACTAATTAGGCATCAGTGCCTGAATGGTTTTAGCTACAATTTTCCACACCTACAAATGGTTTATGTTTTTATGGTATAATTTGCTGCCAGACGCAAAAATCTAGTTGACAAAATTGTGCCTACAAATATATTTTTTTCCGTCATTTTGGTGATGATTAACGATTATGTTTAAGTTCAATGATATTATTTAATGGTGCCTGTAAGTAGACTTTAGAGTCTAGGTACTATTCCAGCAATTTAAATCCGTGTACCGAGCTTATATTACTCGATACATTAGCTTTATTGATCGTTCGACTCGAACGCATTTATTTTGAGATATTCTGCCTAATAATGCTCGGAGGATGAAATTAGGAAGCTCTACCCCACATCTGAAGTATAATGCGAGGCGTGATATAATTATTTTTGTCAGTATTCAGTATACTAAAACATAATTAACTAGATTCATCACTAGATTATGGGCTCGAAATAACGTAATATTTTTTAAATTTTAATTGACTTAAAAATCATCATACTCGTACTCGATGATTTTTATGGAAATAAAGTTATTTCTATACAAAATCTATTAGTATGGGAGGATCGTGGTTTTGTTTTTATGTCGATTGTTTGGTAGAGTTAAATGTCGACGATTTTGACTCTACACTCAAGAGTAGGTATGTAGATTGAAATCGGTCTTAACAATTCGATTCGTATCGAAACACAGGATTGACTCTATGTCTATGTATTAGACCGTAGAGTTTGGAAAGTCATATCAGAACTAAGGGCCTGAGACATACATGTCTAGTTCTGATCTGAGATATGAAATACAGATGGAACTCTTTCTTCTTTCTTTCTTTCAAATATAGGTAGTCGACTGTACTTTAAATAAAATTACAGTGTTACCTTCGCTTTAGGAAACGTTAATTTTGGGGTAGCTAAAGCAAAATAATTATAAACGGAAACGTTGAAGTTTCTAATTTGATTCTGGGAGGTGGTGTTTTACATTTTAAGATGTTAACCGTTAAGACAGTACAGTCGACAGCATATCAGAGTACAGAATTTTGTCGCAAAATAGCACCTATTTGAAGTACATAAGATTCCATAGTGTTTTTATAAGTACCTGCATAGTACCTGGTATAGGGCTGTTTACGAAAATTAGTTGTGCACGTGCTAAGTTTTATGTAGGTATGAATTATGTCTGACACCAGTGGCTCTGCCGTTGTCTGTAATACTGTGATAATACCCTCCAGAATTAATATAACTTTTATTTTACACAGGAAATTAAAACAATTTGTTACAGCAGCAGCTACAAACTGCTGAATCCATGAGATTTAAGTTCTTAATGAATTCGAGAGAGTGGACCTAATTCTAGTTCAGGAAAAGGCTTTAGTTACCTCTGTTGAACACTACAACTACTACTCACTTTAGGTATTTGCTAACAAATATTTTCTATTCGTTAGTTTTCAATTAACTAGGGTTTAAAGCAGTTAACTACACAAGTACTTACTGGTACATACTTACTTTACATAATTCTGTCCTGGCATCACATATATTCTGGAATTGGTTACTATTATGCTGAGGTAGGAACGAATATTAAAAGTCAAAATTTATCGTACCTAACTATTAAAGGTAAATAAAAGACCACAATGAAAATAGGAACTCATTTATTTACATACAAAATATTTACATCCAAAAGTTGTAAGGCTCTTGTACCTACATACAAACATTGAAATGGCAACTTGAGCAAATTTACTTAAGTAATATTATGCTTACTTACTTATTATGCTATGGAATATTGAGTTTGATATTTCTACATAATAATTATTAATACGTCTATCTAGCTCACTCAGAAATGTTCGTAATCTCGATGTTTTCAAGTTTTAAACGTTAAAATGATTCTCTTTGGGTCAAAATATTTTGGACTTTAATATCTACACAATTAATAAAGAATGAGACATAATATCGAATAGCAAAGTTGAATTTTAAGAGATATTAACTTATATTGGCAGTCATCCAAAAGTACCTAGTCATTTTATAAACCTTGTTTTGTTCAAGTAAATAAAATTGGACACTATGAGGGCCACACGAACACCTTCGGAATACTAATGGACGGTCGACCACAGTAGAATTCCGCAATCTTGCAAACAAATAAAGCTGACTACAATTGACATAGAATTATCTAGATCCCTAGTGATATGAAACCCAGCTTTGATTGCAAAGCAGAATAGTTCGAAATCCCTGAGACAGTTCAATTTTTGTTACATGTTGTGTACAAGATTGCTAAAGTCTATTGTGCCAACCGCCTTCGTAATTTTTATTTAATTATGTTATAAAATCTTGCAAATTGTTCCAATGTTATTTTAAAAGTATTACTATGATTAGAGACCTTCTCGAAATCAACGAGGAATTTATTATTTATAGCTCCTGGCCCTCGGAATGACTATTAAACTATATTTAACTTACACTAAATTAGAAATTACGGAATGTCACGAAGTAAAAAAAAATATAAAAATAAGTATCAAATTAAAATTAAGAGCAAAAATAAGAATGTACTTGAATTTTGCGTTCAACGAAAGAAGTTTAAATAGAAAGTTATTAAAGTTTAGCGATTTAAGGAATTCACAGATGCTCAGCTCTTTGGACTAACGAACAATTTAAAACTACGCTAAAAATAATCATCACTACCCGAAAAATATTTTGTACGAATCCAATTAATTTCCAGAGTACATTCTCAACAGTCAATCTTTTACTTACTATACAAATAATGTAATAAAAAATTGTGACAATCGAATTATAATATCACATATACGAGCCCTGCATTGTTAACAAAACTCAACCTACTCTAATCACTAACATCTACTTGGTCGGTCAATGCATAAAATTCTGGATGGAATGTTGCTATAATCCAGTTGCTATAAATTCAAATCGTCATCGTCAGAGTCGCTACAGCTGGAGTCGTCTAAAGCCTTCTTTATTTCATCTTCTATTTCGAGGGCTGTCGTATCTTTTTCAGAAACAGCCAGCTTGTTGTACGCTATGTCGATGTTAGAGTTGTAGTTACCGCCACAGCAGAGGAAACGAAACTGTTTGAGAAGATAGGCAAGCAAAAAGTACAATGTTATGAAAGAGACCGCGAACAAGATGACAGATAGAGCGACGTTGAGTCTGTAGTGCCAGTTGGCGTTTTCTATTTGTGGCACAAGTGTGTTAGGGTAGCAGAATAACTTTTGCTGGGTGTCCGTTAGGTTGACAAGCTGCGCGTCACCCGGGCACGACAGACATTGGCTGTCGTTGGGGCCCGAGCAGGCGGCGCAAGTGTAATGACAGGGGAGACAAATGCGCGGCACTTTCGGAGAATTAGGCTCCATGTCTAAAGCTTCTAATGCCGTCGGCTGTGTGTTGTCTGGACCCTGCCGTTTCGCTTTAGCCTTAGCGCCGGCCTCAGGGTCGGTAAAGTTATGTCTTCTGGAACTCCGTTCGGTTAGGACCTCGCTGGCGTAAGTGTCGCTTGGACATCGTTCGTAGCATCGACCGTCGTACAAGTGCAAACCCTTGGCGCATTCTAGTGAAAGAAAGAGAACAAAGACATTTAATTACATAGGTATAAGAGAGACAGTCTGCCACCACCCAGTTTACCAGCGTCCATGCAGTTGCGATCTCTTGCCAGCGACCAATGATGCGAATGCGACGCACGAAGATACACGGAGTCAGTTCGCAGTTCAGAGGAGTGATCGGAAAGTAATGAGGAGAGGGACAGGAGCACAGAATCTTGTCACTGATCTCAAATAATTTTGTTCTCGATGAATATCAATCAACCAATAAATAAATAAACACGCTAATCTACTTTAGTGAGATTTCACATGCACAAAGGGAGGACGTGCACAAAATTAAATGAAATCAGATAATAAACATATACCAAGAATGTGTTCGAGTAAAATGCATTGAGATACAAATTTAGACAGTTAACTGAGACAAGTGTGAGTAAAAAGTGAGTTTAGTGTGAGATAAGCGTAAGTGGCGATATGTTATTCAAGTCAAGCACGTATCAAGCCAAGCGAACATGCAAAAACAAAACAATGATAAATACATCATGTAAGAACTTAACAAACAAAACCGAAATAGTCGTAAGTATAATAATACAAAACGCTGTGTGACTAACTGCTATTTGACATCAGAGACAAGACTCAAAATTTACACAGTTCCAAATGAAAATCTGTAAGCATTTTGTAATAAAAGATTGTTTTTATTATTTTCGTCACATTAGATTCAATATATACAAATTATGCATCAACATTTACATTATTAAATACAATTCATTGGATTGCTACTTAACGCCGATTGGTGATCAATTTTACATTTATACAACAAAATTGTTATAAAAATGAGCGTTTTTGATGATCTCTTAAGCCGGGTCTAGACTCGTATAACGTGTAATGAAACATAATGAAATGTTACACAAAAATGTGGACGGTACCCAAAGCAGAGTCCAGAAATATGCAACATGTAATGTTATGTATCGAGGATTGTCCACACGCAAAATTCGCTCTATGTTAAACGATACATTACATTACACGTCACACACGTTTGGACTAAGTTCTGCATGAATCGGGAATATTGTCCGAGTTGTTCCTTCCATTTTAGCCTTTGATCTGGCGCTAATAAAAGATAGTGCCAGCGCTGGCCCAAGTACATTAGAGAGTTCGTAGTGCCGTCCCGCACTCGCAGTTTTCGCGTTTAACGTTACACGATACATTGCACGTTACAAAAGTATGCACTCAGCTTTACATCGAGCAATAGTTAAATACATTACATTAAAATCACACGAGAGGGACCTAAAATATGTTGGGACGATGCCTAATGATCAGTTTCCTACATTATTACAAGTTGTTTGGCGATTACTATTTCTGATTACATTTTAACTACCAGTCGATGAGAAATCATGATCGTTCAGTCATTTTCAATTTACAGGTTCATGAGCAATTTGTACAAGTCTCCAAATTTATCGATATCATAGCTACTTATTATATACAGTTATCAATTAAGTTGACTTACGCTAGATGATTGGCAATCCTTGCTATGATCACAACCACAATATGCATTTTAATATCTACACGTTACATCAAACACATGAACTACATTATTTTATGTTTCATCACTTCGATATGGTTTCTGTGACAGTCAACATTTTAAAAGGAGAATGAGAAATAAATGTTATCCGCATTTTTCGTAAAAAAAAAATAATTGATTTGAACAAGTAAATATAAAAGATACCATTCATTTTCGGAAAAAAAACTTTATTTAAGGTTGTCAATTTCTCTGAGCACTAGTGACAATAAAGTTTGATAGACAGAAAACAGGATAATGTTTTACTTGTTATTTAAGTACCTTCTTGTTAAATCGTAAACAATCTTTTATTACATTTTTTAATAAGTAGAGTTCTGCAAACGATTCCTAACTAAAATAACACGAATCTGTATGACTGTCACAAATACCACCGTAAGATGAAAAAACTGTTGTAGATTAAGAATAATAATTTAACATGCGAACATGGAACTTATTGTAACAGATATGTATTATGTAATTATAACATTTAATGCTACGCTATGGCGACTCTTCATACATACGATTATATTCCCATTCTAACAACTAAGTCGTCATAGGAACTTTTACGTCATGAAATTAATCGCCAAAGTCGTATCTAATAAAAATGAAAACATTGATCTATCTAAATATTAATAAAAACCATTTATAAATAAACTTATAAAACAATTGAATCATGTAAATGCTCTAACATTTGGTATTTATTTATGAAGGAAATAATGGTGACAATGTGTATTCAGTTAACAGCTGCAATAAATATTGTAAGTATACCTAAGTAGTTTATCATAACGTGTGTAAAATTGATAAATAAAATGTAACTGCAAAATAGCTGCTTTCAAAAAGACCTATGTATTCAATATGTATAAAAACTCATCAAAATATTTATTAGTTTGATTTAAGTATTTAGCAAAATGACTAGTAACTCGATTGTGAAAATAAAAAGATAAGTGTCTCCACAAACGAAATGATTTTCATATTTTTGTAAAAAAAAAGATTTCTTCTAATAATTTAAGAATGATAAAATTATATTACTAAAGAAATTTAATAAGCATGATAGGTCTTTTTGAACAAACAATTGATTATTTAGTTACAAAATAATTAATTATTAAGTACCGTAAATAAGTTTCAGATGAAAAATTTAATTACGTACAAGAAACACATTGTCTATTTTGTTTATGTACACAACACTAAGCATGCCCACACACTCATCATTACGTATTAGTGCGCGTTCATGCAAAAGCGTATTTTGGAGCGTAAAATAATGCGTAGGCGACATAATAGACCGTCGACATTCAGACTCCAATTTTGTTTGTTGCAAAATCACACTTATTACAATTATAAGACGACACAGTATTTGCTTGTTCAGTTCTGTTGTGCTGTCGTTTTTACCAGAGGCAGTTCACTCAGTTCTACGCGTTACTTAGTAATCCGCTCTATTCTCCGCTTGTGCATGAACACAGCCTTAAGATGCAATTACTCGACGATCAAAATGGACGTTTGAAATCGTAAATTTATCAATATTTTATGTAATTGCACTTTTTATTTGCTCCTCGACACTGCTCATTAATATTTTTCAAATTAATGAATTCAATTTAGTGTTTTATTTTGTGTGTGCGATTTTAACCTAAACAAGCTGCTGGTAGCTGCAATGTTATATTAAACTTTTATGTTAACTTTAATTTTCTGACATTTTTTTATCCCATTAAGTAAGTAATAGGGTCAGAAATATATTTTCGTCTAATGGTTTATTAAAACTATGAATAATTCTGCCCACGGCTCGGTTATTTCACACAAAAAGGTTTTACCAAATAATAGAGAAGAGAAATAAATATTCTCTCAAAATACCCCAGTAATTTTTCTTCATATTTGTCCAATCTAAAAATAAGAGGGGCCGAAATTAAGCCGAGGTCTTACGGCAAAGGGAGCTTTGAGCCGAGGGTCGGGTAAGTTCGTGCCGAGTGCACTTTACCCGTGAAACAGGGAAAATAAAATTAGTTTTGTTACTTTATTGACGATATTCGACACGCGTACGTACTTGTTTTCCATTAACAACTTTAAAATTTGGGTCAGCAAAACCTTTTATGTGAACGCAACAATACTCATATTAAGTACACCGAATATAACAACAGCAGTTTATTTAAAACCTAATAGTTCAATTCATTATTCAGCGGAAATATTGTATGAATTAGAATTTTCCCGCGATAGTTTCATATTTCTAAAATCGCACACATTATTATAAAAAAAAACACAAAGCGTCGATTCCTTGTTTTCTAACTTAAGTACGCAGTTAGATTGAGTTGCCATCAGATTAATTAATATCCTAACTAATAATACAAACACCGTTGTGATGGGACAGCAGCTAATAAAATAGACATGATATAAAATAAAAAATAGTATATCGTTAACAGCTTGTACTTATTTTTAACTTGGTAAATTTTAACTAAAATCACACGCCGCTTCGTCGCGGCAAATAGTTAAGCGGCAACACTATTTATTATCACTATCAGTACAGATATTTACATTTTTATTATAAAAAAGATGTAAGTATGGCAGAAAAAGCCAGCCTACAAGTATTATTGCACTGAGTATTATGCACGAATTGTGTTGGCAGTGGTATTAGTCGCTCAGTCGATCTTTTGAGCATTATTTTTGTCGCATTTGCCTCTTCAAGATTAATCTGCATCTCATTTATCGATAGCACTTCGACTAATCGCTGAATAGTTGCTTAATAATCTACTTCAGGAGCGGAAAGGTTTAACGAGCTCATTTCTGGTTCTAAAAGAACCTATAATATAATTTATGCACAGAATTCCAGTAATAATGACCCACTTTTACTTTACAGTAATTTTAGTGCCCAATGACAGTAAACTACACCTAATTTGAGGAAAGAAAACTAGGAAGTAAATGTTTTTCCTTCTTTATCCGGAGCTGCTAACAGCATAAGAAGTACTAATCACTTTCCAAGATATTGGGTTCGCAGTTCGGGAAGTCTGCAAGTGCGATGTAGGGCTTCTATTGGACCCATATTCGGTCCGATCAGCCGCAGTACGGGAAATGGGACCTTAAGGGCGGGTCGGATTTATTAAGAGGGTCTTGTCCCATAATGATTGAGGCCATATGGCAACGCGAGGGATGATACGTGCAAAAATGCTGACTCAGTGTGATTACAATATCTCCTTTCATCGACGTTCATGGCGGAACTTTTCTATGTAGAAAAAGCTATTGTGTCAAAATACTCGTAACCCAGTTTTGGTTGAGGAATAAATAGATATTTGTAGTGAGCTGTTTAGTTTACCATACTGTTTTCGTTGTAGGTAAAATGTAGTTCGCAAGCCGCTGTTTTGCAAGCAGTAACTAAAAGTTAAGTAAAACACAAAACAATGAATATAGATTTCAGAAACAAATTATTTCTGGAAGCTAATTAGGTTAGTTCATCAATTTTACTCCTTTGAGCGTCCAACCTACTTTCCTGAAGCCTCAGAGGAGAGTTAATTATTGTGATCAGGAAATAAACAGGAAAAACATCCCCTTTCGGCACTTAATGTAGGTCAGTGGGAAATATCCGTATTGTTTGATCGGCCTTGCGCAAATCAAACAGTTAATGTTACAGCTTCTCTAATTGTGCGATAAATAAAGCTTTATGTTATTTACAAAGAACGTATTTCTGCTTAACAGGATCAATAAATCGAGCCTACGGTTGCTACAATTGAGTTGATAGCGCTAAATTAAAATATAAATTGCAGAAACATATAAAACGGTTCGATAATGCCTAACGCATTCGTTTAAGTTTCATATTCAATGAACACATGTAAAATTTGTCTGACAGTTACAGTTTTTCTGCTAGACTTTGGCTGTTATAGTGTTGCCGCTTGCTATATCTACGGGAGTACTAGGCCGGTAAGCAGGGTGCCCTCGGCGGTCTCGAGCTGGTCGCATCTGGAGCGCTTACTTCTAAACTTAAGCTAGCAGTTAGTGCACAGTCGCTTCTTAACCTATGGGGTCGTTTGGGGGCTGTTTGGCCCCAGGGGAGGGGCAGGGAGAGGATTAGGAGGATGAGGCACAAACCTAGGCAGTGGTGCGGCGCAGCAAGCGCGTGCGTCGCGCAGCCGTTGCCTGCGTACTGTTGGCCCGTCACGCCAATGTTGGCCGCTGATGACGCGGAGTTCTCCTCGCGGATCTATAACGGATTATGGTTTTTAACGGGGACGGTATAAAGTTTAATTTATATGGGTAGGTACCTATCTGACGAGTAGGGTCTGTAGATATTTACATACATTCTAAGTACAAGGGTTTGACTTGAAGCAACAGTTAAACGAAAATAATTGCCTTGATGATGGTATTATATTCTTTTTAAATTCAAATAAATATAATATTTCTTAGGTGAATATTGTATTCAACATTTAAGTAATTTCTGAAAGCTGTGAAACTAGGTATTTGATTCAGATTGTAAAATGTTATTAGATTAATTTAAAGTTAATCTAATTATTAATTAATTAGGTACAACAGACTGTAAAGATACCTACTAATGAAAAGGCTTAGTAGTTTTAAAGTAACGGCAATTAGGTAGGTACCTACTTCTAATCAAAATGAACAAAGTTAAGTAAGAGAAAAAATACATAAGTAAATTTATTATCAAATTACGTACTTAATAAGATTATAAAACATATTCTTAGAACTAATCAAGTGCTCAGCTAAGATTAGTTCAACAATTTTAGCTACTTGGAATATCAAAGACAGTTCAATTTTCGTACCACATTTATTATCTTCTTTTCGCGTTGAAGGTCAGCAAAATTGAAATATCTGATTGAGTGAAAACAAAAACATTATTTTGGGGAAATTCTAATTTTGTTTCAAGGCGGCATAATGATAGGATATTAAAAAGTAAAATAGCCTGAAATGATGAAAAAAGTTTGCTTATCTTTGATTGATGGTAGCCTGACGAGGGTCTCAGTTCGTGTGAATTGTCGAGTGATATGTATCGTACCAGGATGAGCTATCCACAACGGAGAAGTGTCACAGCTGGTAATCCCTGATATTATTCATCTGTGACCTACTATGTTCTCTGTTCGGGCAATTCGACAAGATTAGATTTGGTCACCCAGTTCATAAATTGTTCCGCATTTAAATTCATAGCTTTTGTTTAGTTCATGCGAAATAAAGAGAGATCATTTATTCTGAACAGTCAACCCCATTCGGTTTTATTAATGAATGCCCTTTGAAGAGGACGTTATACAAATTAATATATAATGTAAATAGTAATAAAAGAACTACAACAACTATTAAAAACTGGTAAATGCTATAAGCCAATATCATTAATCTTGTACATGTGTGGTTTCGCATTTTCCAACAAAAAAATAATCTAAAATACATATTGTTTTTCGATAAAATGGCTTCACCGTATAAGTAGGACCCCTTTCAAGTATTCAATAACGTGGCTTGTACCCAAGGGGGAGGGTTGACATGCTGTTTGTTTTTTTACCAAATAAAAGTGAAAAAGGCTGGGGAGCGTCGGAAATTTTGAATCCATTATTTTAAAGGTCCCTAAGGTGGTTTGAAGATATATTGTCCAGTTGTGGAATATTTTACTATCTTTTTATTTACATCCTTAAACGATAATTTAAATGCAATCGCAAAAAAATAATTTTACTATACTGACTTTGCACTACTTATATGATATGATAATTTTGGCCCAGTTTTTAGTTGGACTAATTCCAAGTAAGTTCAACATTGGTTTTCCCCGAACATTCCAAGAGCCATTGTCTTATTATTGAAGTTTCACTCACCGAATGGGAGTCATGCCAGACAAGTGCCAAGTCATCTTCGATGGCGTTCTGGCGGACTTCCTCGATGGACTCCCGGTCGCTGGGGCCCGTCCACGAGGTGGCCCCTCCGGCCCCCCCGGCCCCCGGCTGGCCCCCAAGCAAGTTCGTCTCTGGCGACGCATCAAACTCCTGTGGGGGCGTCTCTGTGCCGTAGAATATTAGCTCCCACTGCGAAAGCGGACCCGCTGCGAGAAAAAAAACACCTTTTATTGATCGGCCTTAAACAGAACGCTCTAACATTTCAGCGCCGAAAACGGCCAACTAACTCGAGCAAAAATATTAATTGGCAATTTTCTGCATAGCGTGGTCCAATTTAAATGGAAACGCAAATAAAATTAAAAGCGTATTTTTCATGGAAAATTCAATAATGCAATAGCATAATTGCTTCGATTGAACCACTTCTGATTTATTGAATCAACTTTACAAAAGAAAGCTAAGGTGTTCATTTAAAATTTAATACACAGTGTAGTTTAAGGTTTACTCTATGAAGCCAATTAAAGAACTTTACAACTAACAGAACACGCAACAACATAATTTGTTACAAAGAGAGCTTTAACGAAGCACAAATAAAAATGCAAACGTAATCAAAGTGCCTACGAAAGTTAATTGCAACTGAAAACGAAAATCAATTGAAACGGAACACTTCTATTAAATGTAGTTCGCTAAAAACACAAACACGACATGCAAAGAGCGGCGTCCGGAACAAAGGTAATTGACGTGCGGGCTCAAACTAGCGGCCAAATAAACGACGACTACCAATCAGAGGTCTTTACTTCGGAAAACTATTTCGATGTATTCGACTCTCTCGTCTCTTTCACCCAAACTGAGATGCTGGAGTGTCTGAGCGGGATGGCGTCGATATATCGTAACGTTTTGCGGAGTAGACCTCCAAAACATGCATTCCGAAGTACCGTTGGCTTGGAGTGGTGCGGGGTATATACGCTGGATTTTCGGGTACTGATCGAAGAGGCTAGACATCTTGCGGCCCCGGGCGTCGGCCAACGGGTCTGACATGTCCCCCCGGAGGTTCAAACTCAGATCAGGAGCCGCCGTAGTCGTTGTAGTTTTGGTCGTGCTTTCAATCGGGGAGCGCGTGGCCGGCCGACTCTGCTTCGACTTTTGGGCGTTTCTGTTTGGATTTTTCGAGTTTTTGTTTTTCTTTCTCTTTACTAAGCCGACCGTGTAGGTGGGGACGATGGAGACGGCCTTCCCCCGGTTGTTTTTGCGGCCCGACTGCACCACCACGGGCCGCGTCGCGTTGCTCCGGTTCCGGCTCGTAATCGGATTCCGGAACGGTATTGGATCGTTTTTAGCAGCCGGCGTGCTAGTTCCGTATAACGTTAAAGACCAGTCTTGCAATGTCGCTCGACCTATGATATTGAAATAATTGTCTTACACTTTGCTCCTACTTTTTTCATCTTACATTTATGAAATTCCAATGAGTAGGTAATGTCTATTATTATTAATTTAAATTCATAATCATAATCTAATTAGGTTTATTCAAAGGAACCTAAATAAAATATTTGAAATTAGGTGACTAGAGTATTCATTAACTCAGAAATGTAATATAAATTAATTAAAATCTTTAATTAATAGACAAGAGTAATTTCGGCAGTCTTGAGATTTATTTGTATAGTAACTACTATTTAAAACTCGTCCTTGAAAGCAGTACAAGTTTTGAAAAGTATAGTATTATTAATATTATATTACAGCTAATTGATTTCAACAAGTTTGTTAGTAACATTTTAGGGTCACTCGACATAAATAAGATACCACTCACCAATATAACGACCTTCATTGGAGACTTCCAGTTGCCACACTCCTAAAGGCGACTCTCCCCACATATGCACCGACATGAATGGCCAAGAGTTGAACCCGGAGTGGGAAGAATCGTGAGCCCTGGGGGAAATTATTTACATTCATACAAATAGGGTTGTTGACATCACCAATTACAAGTATGTAATATATTTTCCATTATGCTTTTAAAAAGCACTTTTACACGTCTCAATACAAAAGAGCTTAAACGCGCTTCACCTAGACATTTTTGTCAACTTAATTACAAGGACAAAGTCACAGGCATAAGCTAGTTTATAAAATTATTTGATCACCATCACACGAAGCCACGCTATGTCATGCTTAGAAATTATACTAAACATTCAAGTAAGTATACCATGTTTTTAATTTAAATCTTGAAAAAATCGAACTGCCTAAGACGGGAATCGAACCCATGTCTTTTCGCTTGCTAAATCATTACCAGCAAATGTTTACCTACACTGTAAGTAAAAAATACTAAAATAAAATGTTTCCAAAAGGATCGTACCCAGCGATACCACCACCTAATTAAGTTGATTAATATCGATTTAGCTTTTCACCACGTCCACTCAGACTAATATAACTTTAAAATGTTTGTACAGTAAACTAGCGGGGTACATTTGTGTTTTAGGTCAACTGCTGGCATGATCTACGCGGGACCTAATTGAAATATGCGGGTTGGGGCAAAGTTTGCTTGGCCCAAAGTACTTTAGTTTTGCACACAACCGCGGTTAAATCATGAAGCATATTTGCGGGTCGAAGTAACGTCAAAATTAAGCCATATGAGCCTGATGCGTAATGGGTAGGATGAAATCTATGATTTAGTTTTGGTTTAGGTGAAGTAGGAACAAGTTATGAATAGTCAGATATGTCAGGCCGTTTGTCACCTACAAAATACGTATATTTATCACTTGTAAACTGTACTTGAACGGTTTTTTGGCGGACTAAAATAGGAGAGTATTTTAGTTACTAAATGCGTAACTCGACTAGTGCGAACAAGGCTTTAGATAAAGTGACATTCGTAACATTGTATTTCGAGATCGCATAAGCTGGTGCAAAGCGATTTCGAATTAATATTGTCACTTATATTACTTTGTCTAGGAGCGTTGGCGGCAATTGACTGAATTTATACCCATAAATATCCGTGGATGTACCTACCTACTAAAAGGAGTAATTAACGTTAAGTTACTTAAAGAACAGGAAACAGGGTAAATGATGCGGATAATGGCAACACATTAATGTCAAACTCCAAGTTTGATTGATCACACACGTAAATGAATAATTAACTGAAGTCCCAACTCCGACTTGCATCTTGCTTTAATAAGAGTTGCTGAGTCCCGAACAGTAAAGTTTAGTAATTATGCACTGGGAGAGTTCACGCCACAGTCGCACATTGTTCCAATTTCTATAGCCAGCCATTGTGAGCCAGAATTATCTTGTGTTTCGTTTTTCTATTGTACTAGCATTGAGTTTTACCGCTGCTCTGTTTAAGCACATAACCTTTTTTGAGGAAGCAAATATTTGATTTCGATACTTTTTGTTGATTTTAATAAAATTGAGCACACAGAATGTGTATACATTACAAATTTGCAAACATACTCGTCTATACCTTTCAGATAAATCCGTATATTTATTTTATTTAGGCCTTATTTGAGTGCATTTAACCTCGATTTCACCTGACTGTATGTTTAGATGGAGCTGGCGTCTATAAAAGCTTCTTAAAGGCATCGTCTATCTTCCTGCTCTTATCCTTAAGTTATAAGAGAAGATAGATGCAGAAAGAATCCCTATTTTCTTCCTTGTAGTCTTTGTCTACGCCGTTTTGTCAGACGGAGCACGAGGAACCAACGTTACAAAATTAATCAATTAATTAAGTTAAAAGGTGAATACCAATAAATTCCAAGCAGTTCTGACCTTCACAAACAAAACAAATGAAAGTAACATCTGCAGTGTTTACTAGTGACGAGTGGGGGCATATTCCCACCGCGCGGGTGACAGTGACAAGCCTGAACGTGACTCGCAACACGTGGCTCGGAATACATAAACGAAAAAATAATGGACAAATAAAGGAGCTGCCGTTAACTTGATAAACTAAGTTATTTGTCACTAATGGAACATATTATTATTTAGTAAGTCAATTTATGTCACCTGATTGCGGCTAATAGAGATAATTGGAAAACATTAAATCCAAAATATAGCGGAGTCTGCAGCTACCTTGACCGCACTCATAGCTCTGCATGCCTGACCCAATGGTAGACAGGCGAAGAATGCTTTTTGCATTAATGTAACTTTTTTACCATGTTTTCTCTACATACCATCCGTATAATAAGCCCAGTACCTACCTACATAAGCAAATAGCTTCGTATATGCTATCAAGATGTCGAGAGCAATCAGTAAAGGGGTGAAGACAATCCCCATGTCGTTTGAATTTGGCTCATTATCAACCAAAATCAGTTTCACCTGCTCTGAGCTCTAGCTCCGCCTTTGTAAGAACGTTCGTTTCGTTTTCGTTGGCAGGTGACATGAAGCGGTGTAGACGTCTGCTGTCTTCGCGAGTGAATGAAACCTTGCGAGGATACGTGACCGGCGTATGTGTGGAGTAACATAATACATGAACTTAGTCTGCGTTCACTACAGACATTAGATAGTTAGATAGTTGACGGAACCAATCAATGAGCAACTAAGGCTGGGTTGCACAATCTTACTTTAACTTTAACAAACGACAAAAGTCTGTCAACCTCCATACAAAAACCACCGGTTATCGCCAAAGTTACGGTCAAAGTCATGTGGTGCAACTCAGCCTTAATATATTTAGAGTTTTGTAAAGAAGTTAGAATTTGACACGTTTAGCATCTTGACCATATTATTATTTAATTATTCAGTGACTTCAAAGCAACTTTTTTACAGTCAACGGAAAGCTATTTGGTTTACAATGCTTACATGTATAGTTTGATTGACCGTTTAGCGTCATTATGTTAGTTACCTGGGTGCCAGTAGGGTGACCTTGGTTCCAGCGGGAGACATGAGCGTGATGCGGACGTCTCCCCGCCGCGCGGCCGATAGTGTCACCCTCGCCTGGACATGTTCTATGTAGTTCACCCCGGGACACGCGTTTACGTCCAACTGTAGAAGAAAAATAGAGTTAGAGATGCGTTCGTAAACTTCAATCATTATTGTTGTATGGCCTTAAAAAACTAAAATAGGTGAATGAATTTGGTGCTGCTTTTTTTCAGTACAAGCCCAGTTATTGTCCCGAAGAAGTAGACTCGGCGTACCCAGCTTTTTATTTCCTTAACAACCGATCCTGCGTTCCCCTTATCCAGGTGCTACCTGCGACCTTCACCAGATCGTCGGGGGAGGCCTGTCAGGCCTGTTATTATCATTTTCATTCTCGTTTTGTCTAAGTTGTTGTTGGAAATTAGGGTTATTATCAGAAGCGTAAATTATAAGGCAGTTTAACTTGAAATTGGTTGTTATTTGTTTACCAAATACAAATTGTCGGAAAATTGAATCACATTACCTCATTAAAATAAAGGTGAATGTTTATTTAGAGGAAAATAACGTACCATTTGAGGAAACATCAAACATGTGTTGAACGGAACAAACGTGGACACATGTTTATTTTTCTTGCTGGCGAATAGATGGCGTAATTACATATAACGTGCGCTCCAAAATAAATTAGCCCGGGAAGGCGGATAAGTGCCCAAAGAAAACGAATGTTGCCCAAATGTTTACGCACTTGCCTAAGCTAATAATAATATTGTAGAGATTGAGGAAACAGCTGTAAGTAGGTAAATACACGTCTTATCCTTACAATAAATTGTTGTTCCCATGACATAAAACACAATACACTTTTTCTCTAAGATCAAGGCTAGACTGTTTGTATACAAATAAATAAATACGGTTTTCGTTGCTTCCCATGTTACTCATGAATGAAATGTTCATTCCATTTTTTATCACAAACCTGCATATAAAAAAATCTACGCAATTTAAAAAACAAACCAGCAACAGAATGTGACACATTGCGGCTTACGCCGTTAACTCGCCACTCGTCGCTTAGACACAAACGCTATCTTGTTCACCGTTTGGAAGAGCACATTATACGCAACGAGTTAACACCGATATCGAAAAGCTACGAAATTCAAAAATGCACCAACCTGCATGTCAAAATCTTTGAAATAAAAAAACAAACCTGCAAAGTGATGGAAGACCTCGGCGGTATAGTCCTCTGCGTCCGCGGCGCTGCCAGCTCGCACCTCCTCTGAGGCGGAAAGTGATGGAAGACCTCGGTGGTATAGTCAACTGTAGCCGAAGGAATGCGACACTAGACCGTAGCCGAAGGAATGCGACACGTTGCGACCTACGCCGTTGACTCGCCGTCAAGGCTCAAACGCTATCTCGTTCACCGTATGTATAGAAGAGCACATTCAGCAGAAATATTTAACCCGTTATCCAGCGAAAGGGCTATCGAATAGCTACGAAAATCAAAAAGGCACCAACCTGCCTGTCAAAAATCTTTAAAATAAAAAAAACAAACCTGCAAAGTGATGGAAGACCTCGGCGGTATCGTCCTCTGCGTCCGCGGCGCTGCCAGCTCGCACCTCCTCTGAGGCGGCACGGTCCTCCAAGTCCTCGCCAGCCGCACCATCCCCGCCGCGTCCAGTAGACCGTAGCCGAAGGAATGCGATACATTGCGACCTACGCCGTTGACTCCCCGCCAAGGCACAAATGCTATCTCGTTCACCGTATTAAAAAACAAACAAACCTGCAAAGTGATGGAAGACCTCGGTGGTATAGTCAACTGTAGCCGAAGGAATGCGACACGTTGGGGCCTACGCCGTTGACTCGCCGTCAAGGCTCAAACGCTATCTCGTTCACCGTATAGAAGAGCACATTCAGCAGAACTATTTAACCAGTTATCCAGCGAAAGGGATATCGAAAAGCTTCGAAATTCAAAAAGGCACCAACCTGCCTGTCAAAAATCTTTGAAATAAAAAAACAAACCTGCAAAGTGATGGAAGACCTCGGCGGTATCGTTCTCTGCGTCCGCGGCGCTGCCAGCTCGCACCTCCTCTGAGGCGGAAAGTGATGGAAGACCTCGGTGGTATAGTCCACTGTAGCCGAAGGAATGCGACACTAGCCGTAGCCGAAGGAATGCGACACGTTGGGGCCTACGCCGTTGACTCGCCGCCAAGGCTCAAACGCTATCTCGTTCACCGTATAGAAGAGCACATTCAGCAGAACTATTTAACCCGTTATCCAGCGAAAGGGATATCGAAAATCTACGAAATTCAAAAAGGCACCAACCTGCATGTCAAAATCTTTGAAATAAAAAAACAAACCTGCAAAGTGATGGAAGACCTCGGCGGTATCGTCCTCTGCGTCCGCGGCGCTGCCAGCTCGCACCTCCTCTGAGGCGGCACGGTCCTCCAAGTCCTCGCCAGCCGCACCATCCCCGCCGCGTCCAGTAGACCGTAGCCGAAGGAATGCGACACGTTGCGACCTACGCCGTTGACTCCCCGCCAAGGCTCAAGCACTATCTCGTTCACCGTATTGGAGCTCTCCACGTGCTCACGTCATTAGCGGAACTATTTAACCCGTTATCCAGCGAAAGGGATATCGAAAAGCTACGAAAATCAAAAAGGCACCAACCTGCCTGTCAAAAATCTTTAAAATAAAAATCAAACCTGCAAAGTGATGGAAGACCTCGGCGGTATCGTCCTCTGCGTCCGCGGCGCTGCCAGCTCGCACCTCCTCTGAGGCGGCACGGTCCTCCAAGTCCTCGCCAGCCGCACCATCCCCGCCGCGTCCAGTAGACCGTAGCCGAAGGAATGCGACACGTTGCGACCTACGCCGTTGACTCGCCGCCAAGGCTCAAACGCTATCTCGTTTACCGTATAGAAGAGCACATTCAGCAGAACTATTTAACCCGTTATCCAGCGAAAGGGATATCGAAAAGCTACGAAATTCAAAAAGGCACCAACCTGCCTGTCAAAAATCTTTAAAATAAAAAAACAAACCTGCAAAGTGATGGAAGACCTCGGCGGTATCGTCCTCTGCGTCCGCGGCGCTGCCAGCTCGCACCTCCTCTGAGGCGGCACGGTCCTCCAAGTCCTCGCCAGCCGCACCATCCCCGCCGCGTCCAGTAGACCGTAGCCGAAGGAATGCGACATGTTGCGACCTACGCCGTTGACTCGCCGTCAAGGCTCAAACGCTATCTCGTTCACCGTATAGAAGAGCACTATTTAACCCATTATCCAGCGAAAGGGATATCGAATAGCTACGAAAATCAAAAAGGCACCAACCTGCCTGTCAAAAATCTTTAAAATAAAAAAAACAAACCTGCAAAGTGATGGAAGACCTCGGCGGTATCGTCCTCTGCGTCCGCGGCGCTGCTAGCTCGCACCTCCTCTGAGGCGGCACGGTCCTCCAAGTCCTCGCCAGCCGCACCATCCCCGCCGCGTCCAGTAGACCGTAGCCGAAGGAATGCGACACGTTGCGGCCTACGCCGTTGACTCCCCGCCAAGGCACAAATGCTATCTCGTTTACCGTATTAAAAAATAAACAAACCTGCAAAGTGATGGAAGACCTCGGTGGTATAGTCAACTGTGAATGCGACACTAGACCATAGCCAAAAGAATGTGACGCTTTGCGGCCTAAGCCGTTGTCCCGCCACTCGCCGCCATCTTGTTCACCGTAATAAAAAAAAACAAACCTGCAAAGTGATGGAAGACCTCGGCGGTATCGTCCTCTGCGTCCGCGGCGCTGCCAGCTCGCACCTCCTCTGAGGCGGCACGGTCCTCCAAGTCCTCGCCAGCCGCACCATCCCCGCCGCGTCCAGTAGACCGTAGCCGAAGGAATGCGACACGTTGCGACCTACGCCGTTGACTCGCCGTCAAGGCTCAAACGCTATCTCGTTCACCGTATGTATAGAAGAGCACATTCAGCAGAAATATTTAACCCGTTATCCAGCGAAAGGGATATCGAATAGCTACGAAAATCAAAAAGGCACCAACCTGCCTGTCAAAAATCTTTAAAATAAAAAAACAAACCTGCAAAGTGATGGAAGACCTCGGCGGTATCGTCCTCTGCGTCCGCGGCGCTGCCAGCTCGCACCTCCTCTGAGGCGGCACGGTCCTCCAAGTCCTCGCCAGCCGCACCATCCCCGCCGCGTCCAGTAGACCGTAGCCGAAGGAATGCGACACGTTGCGACCTACACCATTCACTCTCCACTCGCCGCCAAGGCTCAAACGCTCGGGTCGCGCGGTCCGCACCACTGAAAAAAAAAAAACATTTCAAACATGGCGGCTGAATGTTTTTTTTATGGCAAACGAGCAGATTTAAAATGTATACTGAATGCAAAATTCTTCAAAGGGATTTAAAAATTGCGTCAGTAAATACCTACGTAGCGAATAAATAAATGGAAATTAATTACCTAATTACTTAAAAGTTCAGAAACCGTATAAAATACAGAATATTATTAAATCTACTCAAAAGACCTTTTCCTTTGATGGACGTGGATTCAGTCGTCTGCCAATCACTGTAATATGGCAATTTTACTCGTAAGTTATTAAATTCAATTATCTGCGGCAATAAAATTATGAAGTTGATTAGCTGTTAAATATTTTAACGGGTGAAAATTTTATGCATTTTTCGGTGTTGTAAAAGCTTTTACATGTCCTAAATACATTAATATTAGTAGTCAGTAACTTTTCGTAAGTTCTGACAAGGCAGTTGAAAAACTCACGCCCGTATTCACAAACGATACTTGCTTATGTAAAGTAGCAAATCAAACGCACAGCGTTGAATAGAGCTCTGCGATTGGTTCATGTGTCACCCTGTGCATCTACGCGCACTGTGAGACCTCATAGTAGGTAATGTTTGTAAATACGGGCGTCAGCCACCATTCAATTTTATTGATACCTAAGGTGTACATAATATGTACCTTAGGTATCAATACCTACTTTGGTAAAGGTAATAAGTGTATAAATGTGATAAGGCAGACGAGCGCGTACGGGAAAATGAGTTTCACGTTACAATCAACTTAAGCCTACATTATCGGTGAATCCAGTAAGAAACTCTTTCAATAACCTTTCTCAGCATATAGATAGGTAATATGCTTTGAACTCTTTTATTATAAATGATAATGGATTTCGTTTTTCACACATACGCTGTTTATCGTACAGGCCACATTACATAAAGGCTTTCAGGCCTCTTAATATTATTTAAAGCAATAGACCGTACTATTATGCTGAAGTCTACAACAATGCGTTTGATAAGAAAGCATTTTTCATAGTATTGTATTCTATTGTAGGCAAAAGGATCGCATAAAACTTGATAAGGTTATGAATAAGTAAGAAAAATATTTGTAAGAATAAAATTCCCTGAAAATTCAGTTGCAATCGAGGAAAAAGTTATTAAACAAAAAACCTATTACACGGAGGATGAAAATAACGAGGGAGAAATAAAAGTTTGTTTCAAGAATGATATTTCTTTTACGTACGTTATAAAATTATACGTAACCGCTTATTACGGTTGTTATGTTTACTTGAGGTATAATTTTATGAGATTTAATGCATTTTAGTGTAATAATTCACACGTAGAAGGCAAGCTATGATAAATGCAGCCGTAAATTATGAAAATGTATGAATATGTATGAACAAAAACTTATCTGCAATCGTTCGGATCGCATTCATGGTGGTAGTGTGTTACTACAATTATATCATGAATCATATTCTCAGAAACTATTTAGGTTATGGTAACTGATGTATAGTTTTATGATCTTGATAACAATCTAATCCGGAGTAACATCACTTCAATTTTTTTGTAAGGTTTTCTGAGTAAAGTGCCATATCTTACTCAAGGGAAGCGGGAGGATATCATCTATCATTCATGCATCCATTATCTACCTTACATCATTACTTGAATATTGTACTTGTAAAATTGATACTTAAAACTTGCTAGACGTGCAAACCACGAGGTCATAATAATAAAAACAACTGATATAAAGAGGATATCTCACCGATATGTTGCAAGTCCCTCCACGTTAGGTCCCTGTTGGCTTGCAGAGCGAGCGCGCATATGCCGGCAGCCAAAGGAGCAGATGCAGATGTCCCCGTGTGCCCAGCTGTGCACGAGTGATGGAGGTCTGTTGTTACGACCTGTTGGAAATAGAATATATATTCTATATAATTTATTTAGCACACGACACATACAAGATCAACATAAATATAAACAAAAAAAAAGGAAAACCATAGAACACAATTTAAAAAAAAATGTTTTGGTGTGTCCCGTGCCAAAAAAGCTTTGCATTAGTCACAGACCTTTATAAATATTTTGTAAAATCAAAAAAGTTTTGTTGAATTTTTTAAATGGGCTCAAATTCTCATCAGTATAACGATACTTAATTTTATTTAATCAGTATAACGACGGCACATCTAACAAAACTGAAGCAACTTAGCTAGGATTTTTAATAATGTTAGATATTTCTTATACTAGCTAGGGTGTAATTAAATCGTACCAAACGGTTCTGACTCTCATATAAATTCGGAAAAGTTTCTTGTTCTTTGCAAAGTAATAATAGATTGGAATATAATCAAAAGAGTTCAACTTGAAATTATTATGTACAAGTATTTACTTGTACTTGTATGTAAGTTCAACAGAATCTGAAAAGTGGAAATAATATTTCCTTAATCTTTGTTTTCTGTAATGCTTTAGTAAAACACGGAACCCATTTCGGTAATGTATTCAAAAGACCTCTCCATTATCATATTATTAAACATGTTTTGGGTAAACCCAAACTCGTGTCTTCGTATATTTCGCGCCTTTTTCCACTTCGGTGTATCGCAACCAAATTTGTTTGACCCAAAAGTTTGGGCCAACTTTGATTGCCGATGCTGGGCCAACTAATAATACGTTGGGCAGACAAGGACCGAATTACATCTTAGTCGCATATAAACTACGGGATATGAATTCGTATAAAACTTGGAATAAGATTTTATGGGAAATATGGACCCCAAATAAAGTTTAATAATGTTATCCGTTTGTCCTCTTGGGATTATACAACATGTAGAATTTTAGGATAGACAAAATTGACTGTTGTGCAGGTACGGCTGTGTTGTTAGATAGCTCGGAGTTAGAGGCTCGCGAAACTGGAAATGGATTGAAAATATATTGTTCGACTTTTCAATATTACGTATGTTTCACACGAACGAGAACCAATCGATAGGTTTACATATACATATCTTGAGAATAAGTATGTACTACTCCTCTCAGTGGCCGAGGATTTCGACAGGGTCGAGATAGAGTTGGTGTATCCCTCATAGTTGCAGTTGTCCTGCTCTCTTCTTACGAATGATAGAGACACACAAACCTGCTTCTCATTGATAGCGCCACTGCTGTAAGTAGCTGCGAGGGTCGAGCTGCACATCTCGGAGTACCATGGAACTTCTCCTCTCTCAGTGGCCGAGGATATCGACAGAGTCCAGATGGAGTTGGTGTAGCCATCGCAGTTGCAGTTGTCCTGCTCTCGGCCCCCGTTGCCTGATGCCCATACGAAGATGGATCCTTTACCGTTGCGACCCTGGGAATGGAAGAGAAGTTAATATTTTCTTTCTATAAGTTAGTATAGACTATAGATTCATACGCTCTAGAAGATTGAGCATTTACATCAAAGTATATTTGGAACAAAATCAAAACTGTTACGCAAAAGGTCCTTGAAATAGGACTGGGACGATATTACTTGAACAAAATCTCTCCTTTGATAGAAGCCCTTTAAAATTGGGCTGTGTAATAACAAGCTTGTCTTGTTTCAGTATCCCGATACTATAGCAAGCTCCGATTAGAGCTCAGATTAGCGCGGTATCGTTTACACGCTTTTACGTTGTTTTGGTAACATTTATTACATCTTACGTTGTAAGTGCTATTGGATGTTGGAAAAGTCAAGGACTTCGCCAAAGTTACGTTATTGTTGAATATAGGATCAACATTTTCTTTTGACGTTTTAGGTACTGCAGGAATATTAAAGTCGATTTAAATTAATACCTAGTAGATTCAAAGCTACACAGTGTAGTCGCAGCCTTGAGTAGTAAAGATTTACGTAATTGTAGGGTGAAAAGGGGTGGTGTCATATTTTGATGATAAAAAATATCTTTTTGGGGTATTCAAGTACGTGGGGTGTCGTGGGGCCGATTCAAAAATAGGAATTTGCTTGTTTTTCGTTACGGCATAATTTAAGAATAATAGGATTTCTTCGCAACTTTTTTCAGAGGTGTATCGTTGTTCTTTAGGTTTATTCTTATAAGATCAAATCAATGGGACACCTACGCGTTTTATACTTATGTATTTACTCTTACCTGGGTTCGTAATCTCGTTCCTCTCTGTCTACGCCATAAACCGAAAGAGGGTGTCTAAAGAGGATTGTCTAAACAAGTTTACTCGGGAAGGGCAGGACGTTATGTAAATTTTACTGGCGTCAAGGACTTGACCATGTATTCACAATTAAGGTGTGTGCAGTTACTCTAATCTGAACAGATTAATTATGCTACGCAGTGTCTTTAGTTAGAGACGTTACGTTTCATATTTATCTATCTAATAAATCGAACTACGTTTTACAGGGGCAAATAAAACGTTCAAGCAAAAAATAACGTTCCGCTTACTCGCACTTGGTAAAAGACTTGCAGAGATTACTTTAACCCTTAAGTAACACCGTGGGGTAATTTTTTACCCCAGGCGCATAAAAATTGACATATCTTTTTTTCTAGCGTAGCTAGTGCAATGTCGTTTTGTGTATTCTTAATCCAGAGTGTGCGCTTTAAGCTCGTAGATGCGGTTAGTGAAAAAAATCATCCGTTTGGCTTGTACAGGTAGGTGGGGCAGAAATTTACCCCAGGGTGTTAGTTACGCATACTTTAATTTATCATCACCTAACATGTTATTAATAGGTTTTTACAACATTGAACCAAAATGAGTAAATATTTATATTACGATTAAGTAGCACATTGTCTCTAGAATGTAGAGAGATATTTTAGAGCTTGATTTACATGATACTTTTCGAACTTTGAAGACATCCCCTCAGAACAGAGCGTTCATAAATTCGACACAGAAATAGGGCTCAAAACTAATAATTACGTAGTAATTCAGCGTGTCTGATGTGTTTTGAAAAAATAATTAGGAATAAAATAAATAAAAAATATTTTTAAATATTTTTTTCATAATTTTATAAAAAAACAAGTTTTTTTATTTTGCTTTATTATAAAGCCAGACATTTTCGTTTTATTTCATTTTGTGTTTAAAATATGCATAAAACATCTATTTAATGTCCGATTAGTGTAAGTTTTTGGTTCCTACAATAACTTTCCAAGATTTTTCTAGAAGACCACTGTGGAGACTATTGGTTGCCAATGACAAATTATTTGTTTTTTGTTATGATTGATTTAAGGTGTTTCTTTACGCTAGATAGACGTTATTTTAAAGCAATCATATAATTCAGTGAGTCCATTAATACATTGTAAATCACAAAATTAAATTGATTTTAAATATTTACTTATTTTTTTTCAATTTCCGTTTGGGGTAATTTTTTGCCCCAGGGTGTTCAAAGTGTAACCAAAAATAACGATGTTACTTAAGGGTTAATACGACTACACGACTAAAGAAGCGTGGAAACTTGACCATGAACCGACTGTAGATCTTAGATGATTCAGAATCGGACATATTTTGTGATGTATATTTTTTTCCATTTTTCGGATCTCAAAGACACCTACGTTATAAAGTAGAGCTTGAAGTGCAGCAAAGTTTCGGGCTCATTTACACGTATTATGAGATGTTCAGTTATTTTATATGCCGTCAACGTGGCCTTACTGTCTTCGCCTCATTTGGCGCCATAGTGCAGGGAATAGAGAGAAAATAATTGCGTCATTACAGGAATTACTACGGCCAAGTGTCGCCTCGTTGCTCCTGTTCGCCCTACACTAACTTAGTTATAAAATCGACTAAGTGTTCGATAGCTAAAATGGGTCTTATGTTGTGACCGCACGGGCCAATATCCGTTGCAGTGTGTTACACTGACAAATTAAAGTAGCGAATTTCGCAGTTGGCTGTTGGGACTTTATTAAACTTACTCTACTGTGTGGGGAGAGTGAAATAATAAACGCGCTCGTACATTTTTGAGTGGTGCTGATTATCCTTGTTTAATGAAAAACGCTGACGTTGCAAGTTGCGACGTGTCTCTTCTGCTGATGAACATCCAAAGCTTTTAAACTGGGGTTTGTGTTTCATAAATGCTCCAGTACAAAATGTGAATATTATTTTTAAATTTTTAATTTCTGGGTACCTATTTATTTTAGTATAAAGGCTCAAATAAATTCAATATCCAATGTTCAATAGAATTAGCGTAATCATATTACCAGAGTATTATTTGAATTTGATATCCATGTTAGTGAAAAAATGTGTTTGTTTTACAGCTACGAGTAGGTACATCCTTTGTTTTCAAATATTGAACGCGCGGTGTAATAGGTAATAAAGAGATTTTTTTTTTAATAAAATATAAATTGGTTATGGGATGGAAGCGTTGCTTGAGGTTAACAATGCTGGTAACATTGTAGTACAAGGCTATAAAATAATACCTACTTATTAAGACACCAGTATTGTAGATATTCTCATTATGAAGTTGATGACATAAAAAATATCTTGGACGTTATTTACTTTATAGGGTTTCAAATCAAAGGTATCAGTCAAAAGATAATTTTAACATGTTTTACCGAATGTTCTAAATTGTTCAGCTTACCTTAGTAACACCTTCGATGAAAGCCCTCGTCGCCAGTTCTCCAGGTCCATCCACGGTCTTCCCGTCATCGTCAGGACCCCATGACGCACTGTAGATGTCCACATGCTGAGGGTTGAGGCTCAGGGATCTGGCTTCCACTGCATCCGTGACGTCACCGTCCAGCATTCGGACTCCTAGGAAAAAAATAGGTGTAAGAACCTTCAAACTTTTATACCTTGCGGGTAACTGAACTGCGTTTGAATCTAAACAGTAAAAACTTCAAACATGAAAAAATCTTTAGCGTGATTCGAACTGATGAGAAGGAGATTTCAGTAACCATTACTTTAATTTAAATGACATAAATCATCATCATTCAGCCTATGAGAGTCTACAACTGCGTCATACTATACGATTAAACGTCTTGATGGCTTGAATAAATTAGTAAAACTTTTCTTTACAAACTCTACACAAGGAACATTGAAGTAATATTATTAGCGACAAGGAGGTAATAATTTGGAATTACTAAATCAATATCATATACCAGCAAATGAAAAGATTTTGGTTACCTGAAAAACTATACTCAGATATTTGATCTACTTAATTTTACTACCTTAAACTACCGGCCAATAACATCCTTTATGTTGCAGGTTCATTTAAAATTTAACGGCGAAATTCACATAAATTTCAATATTTATGTTATCCATTTTGAAATTATGATGCACCTCATTTGGACGAATTTACTATCTACTGCTCTATAAACCACAATTGAATTTTGGGCAAATGTTAAATTTATTCGCAAATTACCTAAAGTAAAGTAAAAAAAGTAAAGTTATCATTGTTCTATAATTATAAACAATTTGTCTTTATTCTACAAAATAAAATTGTTTATTCTAAGAAATAAGTACCTACTTACTTAAAACTTGTTAACAATAATAGTCATCCAATCAAGCCTAAAACAGTTTATGAGCTTGAGTCAGTTTCAAAATCAGACCATAGAATAAAAATGTAAATACCTTTATCAAGATTTATTATAATTTATCGCGAAACACCTAACTACACTCGAATACAATTCAAAGAATATTTTAACAAACAGTAGCATTGTTAAACCTAGTTTCGTTTGCTCGGCAAGTAAGTATACCTATCTGGAATGCGGTTAGCTCGCTCATCCCTAATGAACCAGACAAGGACAAACGCAAGAATTAGCATACCACATTCTTGCATTGCGAACTTAAGTTCGAGCTGTGTGGTCAACAAGTTGAAAGTCTAGATGCTAATTTGCGAAGCTCGTATTTTGAGTTCGTCTCAGTTTGTAAGGCCAACAAAGTTTGTGCGAGCAAATTGAATAGTCAGACTGAGAAAGACTGGTGTACAAGAGATTTAATCCTTTGGCAAGGGACTTCTCTTCTCAAAGGATCGATTCCGATTCCAGTTCGCGGTTGCTTCGTTACGTTCTCAAGTTGTGTGTAAGTTGGAAATAGAAAACGTGTTACACAATCAATAAATCACAATTGTATACCCATTTTTAGGGTTCGTAGTTATCAGTGTAGAGACTCAGGTGAAATCATTTAAATACAGGAAAACAAATCTAAAAATAAATCAAGGAAATTTTATTACGATGTACTACATAAAAATGAAAAATATAAAATAAACCAATAGTATGAGCTGCTATTTATTTTCATTTGAACTTCCAAGAAATCCATATCCGCAACAAGATAATATTGCTTTTGGTTAATGTTTTTCCTTGGTAATACGTATTTTTCATGGTTCGTAAGCCTGTTTTTCTTGTCTAAAACACTCTCACGCTTCAGATATTGACGGATTTGACTGATCCTTTGAGACCACATGAAGAAAATACGATCCCAAATATTACCTATACGTTACACGTATATGACATTCGACATCACATTAGACTATACATTTTTGTTCCAAAATAGTCTGTATTACAACGAGATAAGGCTCACCATGCTTCGCTTGATGTGCTATCTTCCACACAAACAACTTCTCCCGCTGTTTAGAACAGATAAAATCTAAACTTATCAGATTTGGCATGTCTGGTAACATGTGCATTGGAGATAAAATTTTATTTCTTTGTTCAATTAATAAAAGAAGTGAACATTCTACCATTTTACTCTAGTCTTGTATTGTTATTGGTTTTAACGATTGAGCCTACCTATGTATTAAGAAAGTTTACTTAAAGTAATACAGTTTCAATTTAACGTACAACAAATGTATTTATGCTATATTATTACTTATAGTACTTATTTGAGAAAGAAGTCAATACAGTTTCCTTGCCACTGGACAACACAGACAATCTTGTAAATGGTACATACCTTACCTACGATATACCAAAGTCTAGCAAAATAAGAAATGAACGGTCTTTAAGATCTGAAGATGATTTTACTTTGTATTCAAAGATACGTTGTGTAGATCACAGAGATTGACAGTTTCTTTGAACTACATACTGACGTTATATTTTTTTTTCTTATCTTTACTTTTCATGTATTTATTATCGTTATACCTATTGTTAAAAATATGTTTACTGGAACTGTACCGACTGTATTCGCAAACATTACTATGAGGTCTCACAGTGCGCGTGGACGCAAAGGGTCATACACGAACCAATCACAGAGCTCTATTCAACGTTGTGCGTTCGATTTTCTTCGTCACTTAAGTAAGCATCGTTTGTGAATACGGGTGTATTATAATCTGCAGGCCAGCAATCAATCTTCAATAACAGGGCAGTGTTCAACAGCTCTAATTGGAAGTTTTAATTCAATTTGCACAAAGCTAGGAAATTAACGCACCCGAGGATACTCGGAAAGATGGTTGTAATTGGAAAAAGGAAAAGAATTCAGAGAAGAGAATGGTAAAGGTTGATTACAGAGATGATTGAAAAATATTCCAAGTAATACAATAGGATATCTTTTTTTTTATTCGAGAAGTAAAAAAAATGCTGGTATATGCAACTATGGTAAAAGAATATAGGCCTATCACATAAAGGGGGCTATCTAAAGTAAACTCCTATGTATAGAGACATTCGTTTTCGCCATTATTTGATAACATCAGTAAGTTAAATATCAAAACGTTTAAAGTTAGTCAATTTAAACCTTTATGCCTATCTGATACCTTAATAAATATTTATATCAAGCTTTATTGGTAGCCGTTTTACTAACGCAAAATTCATAGTATGCCGAACAATATTAATGGATCACTTAACGGAGTGGAAGTTATGAAATGTCGCATAGTGAAATGACTTTTGAATGTGGATTTGAATTTATTGCTCTCACTGAACTGCACAAAACATCAGGAACAGCTGTGGTTAATTTGGGTTGACCAATTGATATAAATTACTTGACTAACAACATTGATTCTTGAATAATAAAAAAAATGTGTAAAAAAGGTTTAGTAGGTTATGTACGCTTTATCATCTGAGCGACTGAACTAATTATAGAGAACTCAAGTATAGAGACTCAAGAGATAGATTAAACTTTGGAGAAGGAAAACTCTATTTTAGTTGTTTGATACTTATACAAAATTAAATTTCGTTGGATTCCTATGAAATTCTTATCAAGGAAACAAAACTATTTTTCCTTTCTCATCCTGTTTAACGGACCTGTTATGTCGTTTATGAAAAACAGATTTATAACATAATTTAATATGTGTAACAAACTCTAAATAAAATTGAGTTGTGAGCGAAGTTAGGCGGCACATGGTGACTTAAACGCCGACTCGTATTAGAGAAGCGTGCGCTAGATATTCTAATAACTTCTCAAGCGTTTTCATATCCGCAACTTCAAAGAAATTTCGGAATTTCCTTCAGCTTGGCAACTTTCAACATCATATTCTACTATAATTGCTTAATAAGAACATAATATATTTATGTTACCAAATTGAAATACTATTTTCACATTATTTAGTTAGCTTTAAATTAAGAGCTGTTGAGACTTGTTTTAAGATTGTTACAATAAAACTTAAGAAATAATGCACTAACGGAATTTGAATCTTCGAATTTCGTTGCAGCCCAGTACGGCCATCCACCAAACCATCAGGCCAAGTTATCGCTTACTCAATCCATCAGTTTTTTTTATTTTTATTTCAAAACCTTTCAAGCTAATCCATGAATATTGCGGTGACATAATAATAAACATCAATTGAAAACAGAAGCGACGACACAATAAGTATCATCAATCCTATAATTAAATGCAACAGCATAAATTACAGTTAAAATTTAAAATGACAATGTTAATTCATTGTTAATCCTTCTCCCGCTGAATGGTTGATTTGTCATTTGTTTAATTCTTTAATAATGTATTTTTTCGATAAGAGCGGATTTCAGCCAGCCATAATAGGTAAAATGGTTTCATTTCAGTAAACCAGCGCAAGCGTTAATTAAGTATTATGACTATACTGATTTATACCTACTTATTTCCTGGTAGGTTGATGATAATGTATTTTCGTCAACTATTGTGTTATAACTTATTAAAACCACTCAACTTTCCAGCTAAATAACTGACAACTTTTTCTGTGCTACCAATTTCTCTATTGATACACTAATATTTTGCATGTCACTTTTTTCAGTAAGACGAATAGACATTAAGATACCACTGTAATACATTTGTGTGAGAATCAAAATATTATTTGTCAAGTTTATTCCGTAGGCAAAAAATATGTAATTGCTCAATAATGAATAATAAATAAATAATAAATAAATAATAAATAAAATAATAATAATAACAACGCCTAAATAAATTAGTCCACACGCGTCTCACATACATACTCGCAGCGTTCCTGTGTTTATATTTGAAGAAAAAAATGAGAACAATAAAAACTTATGACGTTACATAAAGACGCTCTAAGTAAACTCCAGCAGTTTTTGTTCGCACATTTCCTTTGAGTTTGGTGTAAAGTAGCATTTTCTCAGAAGCACGTCGGCCCTGCTTAGACGGTGAGGAGGAATATTTTTTATACTTCTTGCCGGCTCCAATTTAATGTGTTGAATAAAGAATAAAAATGTAACGAGTTTTTGGAGCGCTTAGATGGTTAACCTTGTGCTTAGTAACATACTGTAGATACAGTTTCTAACATACTGTAAGTAGCTGTTGTTTAACGAAAATGTACAAAGAAAACAAATAAATAAACGATAATTATGATGTACAAAATGCTCTTAATAAGCAGCAGCCAAGATGGCGGAATTACTAACTGGCAGAATGAAATTACATTGAGGATTTATTATGAAATAATCTATCTACTGCGTAATCTACACCAATATTTTCGCCGGTGGAATCGTCGTAGTCAAAATTCGTGTGAGCAATGCTACGATCTACGATTAATAATAAGTAACGACTACGGTAGTCGTTTCTCGTAGCGCTACGGCGTAGGTACTCCCTCATGCCGAAACTACACAAGGCATGTCTGTACAAATATTCGTGTGACTGAACCAACACAGAATCACTCTTGTGTATTAAACATAAAAGGCTAAATAATATCGCAAACATTTTTGTACAAGCCTGTGTGGTGGCGGAATGAGATTAGTCTGGAATAACCGCCGTGACATTCAAAGAAGCGACTGTAGCAGTAATGAGACGAACGAGGCGCGCTACGAGACGTGATTCGTAACGTTCGTAGTATGATTAGAGCCGTAGCAAAGTGAACGGGAATAGAGAAGATTCGTACATACAAGTCTCAATATTATACAATCACTTCACTTGTGAAATGGTGATGAGATTGGCGACGAGACAATCGTCTTCCGACAAGACGCCTTGCCCACGATAAAAATGCCAAAATGGCGCAAAAGATTAGTAGGAACTTTGGTCGGTAACGTATCCGACCGTTCTATACTCAATCGTTTTATCGTTCGTATTTTGTTTCTTACCTCCCACTCTAGCGCCGAAAGCCACGCCCACCGCGCACAGCGAGTTGTTAGCTGTCGCAGCGACCTCTCCCGCGCAGCGCGTGCCGTGCCGATTGGAGTCGATAATCTCGTACCGCGGCTGCGGGTCCGAGTCGTGCGAGTTGACGTCATAGGAGGCCATTGGAGCCATCGTTACTCAATTGTTTTATCGTTCGTATTTTGTTTCTTACCTCCCACTCTAGCGCCAAAAGCAACGCCCACCGCGCACAGCGAGTTGTTAGCTGTCGCAGCGACCTCTCCCGCGCAGCGCGTGCCGTGCCGGTTGGAGTCGATCATATCGTACCGCGGCTGCGGGTCCGAGTCGTGCGATTTGTCGTCGTAGGAGGCCATTGGAGTAGTCGTTACTTAATTGTTTTACCGTTTGTATTTTGTTTCTTACCTCCCACTCTAGCGCCGAAAGCCACGCCCACCGCGCACAGCGAGTTATTAGCTGTCGCAGCCACCTCTCCCGCGCAGCGCGTGCCGTGCCGGTTGGAGTCGATCATGTCGTACCGCGGCTGCGGGTCCGAGTCGTGCGATTTGTCGTCGTAGGAGGCCATTGGAGTAGTCGTTACTTAATTGTTTTACCGTTTGTATTTTGTTTCTTACCTCCCACTCTAGCACCGAAAGCCACGCCCACAGCGCACAGCGAGTTGTTAGCTGTCGCAGCGACCTCTCCCACGCAGCGCGTGCCGTGCCGGTTGGAGTCGATCATATCGTACCGCGGCTGCGGGTCCGAGTCGTGCGATTTGTCGTCGTAGGAGGCCATTGGAGTAGTCGTTACTTAATTGTTTTACCGTTTGTATTTTGTTTCTTACCTCCCACTCTAGCACCGAAAGCCAAGCCCACCGCGCACAGCGAGTTGTTAGCTGTCGCAGCGACCTCTCCCGCGCAGCGCGTGCCGTGCCGGTTGGAGTCGATCATGTCGTACCGCGGCTGCGGGTCCGAGTCGTGCGATTTGTCGTCGTAGGAGGCCATTGGAGCCGTCATTACACAATTGTTTTATCGTTCGTATTTTGTTTCTTACCTCCCACTCTAGCACCGAAAGCCACGCCCACCGCGCACAGCGAGTTGTTAGCTGTCGCAGCGACCTCTCCCGCGCAGCGCGTGCCGTGCCGGTTGGAGTCGATCATGTCGTACCGCGGCTGCGGGTCCGAGTCGTGCGATTTGTCGTCGTAGGAGGCCATTGGAGTAGTCGTTACTTAATTGTTTTACCGTTTGTATTTTGTTTCTTACCTACCACTCTAGCGCCAAAAGCCACACCCACCGCGCACAGTGAGTTGTTAGCTGTCGCAGCGACCTCTCCCGCGCAGCGCGTGCCGTGCCGGTTGGAGTCGATCATATCGTACCGCGGCTGCGGGTCCGAGTCGTGAGAGTTGACGTCGTAGGAAGCCATTGAAACCATCGTTACTCAATTGTTTTGTCGTTTATATTTTGTTTCTTACCTCCCACTCTAGCGCCGAAAGCAACACCCACCGCGCACAGCGAGTTGTTAGCTGTCGCAGCGACCTCTCCCGCGCAGCGCGTGCCGTGCCGATTGGAGTCGATCATGTCGTACCGCGGCTGCGGGTCCGAGTCGTGCGAGTTGACGTCGTAAGAGGCCATTGGATCCTGTGAGAATATAAAAATAAGCATCATCAGGTTATATTTAAAAAAATGAAAACCTTCATGGTCACTAACATAATTATTATTACTGACGGGATTGCTACCGACATGTACCTACCTTAATTTTGAATTTTCGATATTTCGGCACTGTTGCAAGTGCCATGGTCACGGAAACGTCAAATTAATATCGGAAACTCAAAATTAAGGTACATGGTAGCAATCCCGTCAGTAATAATAATTAAAATGAAAACTGTTCATCAGTGAAAACCTAGTTAGTTATCAATTGGTCGTAGGTAAATATTTCTAGTAGCTTTGAAATCAATAAAACAGTCAATTGAGTTCGCGACCAGGGCGCTTAGTGTGAGTTTACATTAAACGTCGTCACTGGTGAGCGCGTAAAAAATTACATTAAATGTATGACGGATGTACAGCGCCCCTAGCGGAAACTTTCAAGAACTAAAATCTTCATAATATATTTTTAACGCGCTCGCCAGTAACAACGTTTGATGTAAATTCACACTAAGCCTTCTGATGACTATAAATCCCCCATAGCTTGGGAGAATCCCGTTTTGGCTGCTCATAAAACGTAGGTAATATCAATGAGGGCTATCGTTTTTATACTTAACAGTTGGCACCCCTGGCGATTGACAGGACCTTACTCTACAGTGGCGCCATCTTGATGAGTGCAAATGCGATAGTCCTCCTACCACTTTAGCGCTTACAAGTTGGCGCCACTGTCTTCGCTACTAGCAAGTGACAGGACCTTACTCTACAGTGGCGCTAACTGGTGAGCGCTAAAACGATAGCCCTCATTGACTAGTGTCATATTATGTGGAATTATTTACAAAGTATGAAGCAAACCAGCAGCTTAAAGATATTTTTTTGCTCGTTATCTGTCCTTTTACAAAATTATTAAATATTACAGAACCTCACGTACAAAAATCCGTGTATTTTTCATCTGTATCAGCAAAGAATACGAGAGTAACTAAATCCAATGTTTGAGAACTCAGACATATTTTTATTTTCCAGACAGATGTTTAAGAAGATTATTTTATTGTCGCGACAAGGAAAAGAATCCCCTTATTTTTGTGCTGTCTTTCAGAGTATTAAGTACATTTCATTTAATGATGCCGAGGATTTTAAGCATCTTATATTCGTGTAGGCTGAAACTGTCAGGCTTTGTAAGCACCCAAGCAGAAAATAAAATAAAAGCTCCAAATTGATACCTACATCCGAAGTAAGCACAAGAATAAATAATGAATATAAAGTACCTATTATTATCATTCTAAATATGAAAGTGAAACAGAAACGAAGGAGAATTGGGACTAATAAAAGGTACTTATTCAAAGCTAATTGAAGTTGTCTAAGGCGACGTAAAAGTTTAAAAAACCTTCCAGATGAAAATAAGCTAGATCTGGGGAGGCAATGAAAGGACGCCTATCCTTTTATTTGCGTCCGTGTTGACAGCTCTGACGTCATGTCCGGCGATGTTGAGTGAAAAGGGCTCTTGCAGATTAGCGTTTTTTGTTTTAACGCACACATTTCCAAATTTTTCCATTAAATAACGTAAGTATTAACACGCGTTTGTGAACAGACACGTGGAAACGATTTATTTAAAAGAGCCGAAGTGTAAGGTATTTATTTTATCTTGCATTAGATTTAATACAGACAAAACTAAACGATCATCTCCGGAAGAACTGTAAAATAAAATTTGACGAAGTTGTGTTTGTTTTATTTTTAATTAAATAATGTCATTGCTCAGCATATTAACACATCAGTCTGTAAAAAGGCTGTAATAATTTAATTGAGAAAATAAATCCAAAAGCAGTGAATTTTAATCTCCAGGCTTTCCAGCAATATACCATTTACACCGGCCGCGCCTACGCTGCATAATCGACGGCACCACCGCGACCCAATTACACGTTCCCCGAACGGCAACAACAGAATTAAAGTCGTGCGGGATGAATCGCATAATTTCAAAGTCGGCTTTGTTCGTAAATGTCACTTTGGACTCTTTTCGGTAAAAGGTACGGTAACGGTAATGCGGGAGGCGAGCAATCTTGCGCCATATGCCGAGATTGCTGGCACATTAGCGGCACATCCCAACGTTTTGTACTGAACCCAAATGTGGAGGCGTAAGTAACATTTTCGACGCGATTTTCGCGGCGAGATACGATTTGCGGTGAGATTTAACTGCGTGCTGTAGACTTTACAGCCACTAGCAGGGATTATTATGGCAAAATAGGATCTATTCATATAATGGAGAAATTGTAATTTCGCATATTAATGCATAATTCGCGTGTCCCAATTTTATTCATTTCACAGAAAGGTAGTACACAAGCTAGACACACATACAGAACATCTATTAGATTATTATCTTTAGATTTGACATCTTTTAAAAAGTACATGCCTGTGTCATCAAGCCTCATGTTTACTTTAAAAACAAAACATGAGCTTTACAAGTACACCTGAATCAACAAAATCGGACAGTGTGCAGCTGCCCTTAATGCAAGCTTGTCTTAGAGTTAATTACAAATCTACCAGAAGGTATTTCTAGACAAAACTCGTTAGCTGAGTTCACGATATCCGAATAACAAATGGGAGAGCTAAGTGGTAATTTGATATTCACAGAGCAGTTCCCGTAATTTAAATAGGTGTAAGTTGCAGGTTAAATACGACTATAGTTATTTTGTTGTTCCGGAATTTGTCTTAGTTGAAGTTGATTAAGGTTTAGTTATAAATTAATGGTACTACAGTAGTTTAAACTTTAACATAACATAGGTACGTTTACAAAGTAATGCCTATCAGCTATCACAAGCTTTTGTATAATATACGTCAGAAGTGACAGGCTAGATTACCTACAAACGTTTTAGTTTAGGTATATTATGTAGAATGTTATACAATATGCCTAATATTTCCTAAATTATGTATTCGTAAAAGCTTTGTTCACTTTCAGATTGTACATACTAGGGCATGTAATATCGGAAGGTTTTCAATTCCGATATTGAATTCCGATATTAGATCTCAATATCGGAATTCCGATATTAATATCGGAATTGAGTTCATGTGTTATAAAATTAATTTGGTTATATTCGTAAGAATTCTGGATTGTTTACAATAAAATAATGATTGTAATAAAAATCTTTAATTTGGTACAAAACAGCACTTCATAAAATTGAAGTTTTAAAACCATTTTTACGTTATGGGTATCCATTTCATTTGGTTTTTTATGTGACAAGAGGAAAACGAGCAGACGGATCACCTGATAATGAATGGAAAATTTGAATTTGAATTTTGGTTACTGATAATAAGCTTATAATTTTATTATGGACTAGCAAATAATTAAAGTGTTTTTGTAAAGTCACAGGTATCAAACAAACTTTTACTCCTTCATTTTATTACCCTGTTTTATGTTGGCGGAACGAATTTTAGAGTCATTCAAATCACGTGCTACAAAAATTGTAGAGAGTGGTAAAAAACTTAAATATGCTTGTAATTTGTTCCTTTTTGATTATCGATGTACAACTTACAAAACCACGAGGCATGATCATCATCATGTCAGCCATAGGACGTCCACTGCTGAAAACAAGCTCCGATAATGATTTTCACAATGGCCGGTTGGTGGCGGCCTGCATCCAGCGCCTTCCTGCTACCTTTATGAGGTCGTCGGTCCACCTTGTGGTTATCAGTCCTACGCTGCGCTTTCCAGTACGTGGCCTCCACTTCAGAACCTTGCTGCCTCATCGTCCGTCTGTTTTGCGTACTAAGGCAGAACCGTTGGAAGACCTTATCATAATGCTCGAAGACCTTAATCGAGTTTCCCAACAGGTAGGCCTTCGGAATTCGGATGAATATGGAAAAAAACGAAGCTTATGTCGAATGTCCAGTCCGTGTTGCTCCTTACCCAGTTTCGGTTAGGAGCTCGATTCTCGAGATTGTTGACAAGTATGTACAGTCACGGAATGAAAAGGTTCGTCAGTTTTCAAATTGATTCCTTCAACGAATCGCGAGCACATATTACCTTTTGAAACTATGTTACAGAATAATCTCAAATTAGAGAAAACAATCTTTAACTGTTCGTCAGTAAAGTTCAAAATTATTCAGATCAAAGTTGTTTGACGATTTAATATCTTGTCAAGAAGATTATTATGATTGATAAACTAAAACCTTCTTGTAGGTTCACCTGCCATTATTATGTCTATTAAATAAAAAAAACTATTGTCAATTGGTCAATGTCATCATTGCATTGCACTGATGTATAGATGACCCACGCTGAACTGTCCCACCAAACTCAATGACAGGGGGGCGCTACCATCGTTCAACTATATGATTTCCAACATGGCAAAAATCTGAACCAGCGATCCGGTATTGACGGTGGCGCCCCACTGTCAATGTCATCGACAGGACAGTCCAGTATTTTGGAACTATAATAGAAAAATAAACAAGCAAAACCTTATTCGTCAGCAAACGTCATATTTATTTAAATGTTAGCAGCACTGTTTCTTGCACTGTTATGTTGGCAGGTTTGACTCTTTGGTGCAAGCGAAAACCGACACTAAGGTGACGAACCTTTTCATTCCGCGACTGTACATAAATGTCTATCTCGGACAAACGATCAGCTAGGTAGTTAGATGCAATTTCGAGAAAGAGGTAAATCGGCGAATACGAAGACGAAAGTCTTCAATTAGTGTGTGTTACCAGTGATGATATACGGCTCGAAAACGTGGCCTTTGAATATAGGGCACAACGTGCTATGGAGAGGGATAAGCTTGGTGTTCTTTTACGAGATCTAATCAGATATGAGGAGCTCCGTAAACTAAGGTCGCTGACATAGCCCGACGGATTAGCAAGCTGAAGTGGCAATGGGCAGGGCACATAGTAGTTAGTACGCAGAACTGACGGTCCATAGTCCAGTAAAATTAATGTTTGAAAGGGAGTTGAGATGTCGATCTTTGTTGACCAAGTACCATAGCAAATGCTAAAATTGATTTAGAACAAGTTAAATTAACCATAAATAGTAAAGATATTAAAATATTTGCAGTGGAACAAAAAGTGATGGTGAGAGACATGAGAAAATCATTGGTCTTTGCCAATCATGTACTTTGGGCTTTGTGGCAGGTTGTGGCGAGTTTAAACGCTTTGTTTAAAATCTCAATTAAAACTTTTATCTGATTCCGATATTACGATATTGGGTCGCTTAATATCGGAATTGAAATATCGGATCTCGCAGTCCGAGATTCCGATATTACGAGATTCCGAGATTCCGATATTCATGCCCTAGTACATACGTTACACCGCGCCAAGAGAAGTTTACAATTTTGTAAAAAGACAGACAGCGATTGAACTGTATGACAAGTGTTGATAAAATAGACATTATTTAAATCAAAGGTAAGAATCAATAAGTCACATAAATGCTAATGTTATTCGCCCTTCGTTAAAATAATTGCTAATATTTGTATTTTTACACACTTTGAGCGGCCGCCGCAGTTAATTGCCACTGCAGCGCTTCTTCTTGCCTCTAATGGAATGCGCCTAAAATTATCAAGGTTAAAATAAGAAGACTTACGTAATTGGCAGCTAAATCAGGATGGTCGGTCTCCAGCCCGTCATCCAGGATGGTTACCACCACGCCCTTGCCGGTGATGCCTTCCCGCCATGCCGGAATCACATTCATGTCCAGGCCACCGCCTCGGTTCTGTAACAAAAATCTTATTGTAACGGCTCGATTTGGTAAGTGTTGTTGTGTGTGTTTCGTCACATGAATATATTATTTTAATATTATTTACAGGTTCGCATTACGCACGAAAATTCGAGCGTCGAGAGCGGGAAAAAACAAAAGAACATCGACATTAGTCGTCGAGAAAAGAATGCATTTTCTTTGTGGCCAGTGCCGCGCGGCCAAGGAGGCCGTGTGCGTCCGCTTACAAAGCTGTCTGGATAGTTTTAGTGAAAACCGTGATCATAGTGAAAGAGAATGAATTAACAGAGTCACTGGAATGCCCCCTCTGTTGGAGCATTAAAATAAACCTCTTCAAGACAAAGGATGATGGGCACAAATGTATGGAAAGTGGTACCCGCTCCAATAGCCATAACCAATATATATTTTAAAAGGCCTTTAGATGTAGGAAAATGTCTGCTATGGGGCCAGTTCTAATTCACGTTTTGAAAGCAGTAATTCCACTAAGTATTATAATGAAAGTATAACACAATCATCCATGTATACGAGTATGTATTATGACTACAATCTATTAATATAACTAAAAGAAGCATTGAAAAGGAAAGGATTATACCTACGATGAACTACCCAAGCTATTAGCCCTTTATTCGCTTTCATCATCATCATCATGATCATTTTAGCTATAGGACGTCCAGTTGAACATAGGCCTCCCCCAATGATTTCCACAATGGCCGGTTGATGGCGGCCTGCATCCAGCGCCTTCCCGCTACCTTTATAAGGTCGTCGGTCCATCTTGTGGGTGGACTTATTGGGTCTTGTGGGTTTATTCGCTTTAGCAACCCATAATAAAACCCTTAAGAAGTAATAAAACTTTAACCCATTTATGTAAAACGTTAAAGATTTCCTGGCCTGGACTTGGTATTACATGGATCTCACAACTTTTTACCGTAGAACAACTGAGTTGCGAGACTTGGTTTTTTTGACAATCTATCTTTCTCCAAGCAAACAGAATCTGACTTTAGGCCTAAAATCCGCACATCCAAAATTTTGAATATTTAGTCGTTTATTTCAGGTGAAAAATTCTGTTCCTTCGTGTAGATACTCGTAGATACACAAGTAATAGATATACCTATAAACTACAATGCTTCTATTTATTACTAACTCAGCTCAAACAGATTTTTGCTGTCCAGCTTTGGCATGCATTTTATAAATACTAGATAGGTACTGCATGTCCGTAACCAATTAATTTTAAAATAAAATGCTGCATGTGTGCTTTTTCTCGATAGCCGAGTTTTATCGATAGAATGGTATAAAATATCGCAACAGTTAGCAAAATGAAATGAAATATCAGCCGCGAGCTGACACCCATCCAGCGAAATTGCTTCGTGAAAAACTTATAGTATTTATTAAAAATGTTACGGTGAAAAAATCTGTATAGTGTGTGATTGATTTTTTATATTGACACACTCAGAATCTCTTTTTTATATCCAACAACATAAAAACATTATGCAGTATGCAGTCTACCCACACATCAAACTTGCCGAAATGAGTCGTCGACTATTGACATGTTGTCAAAAGTCATAGAAAGTACGAGCTATTGACATGTTTTTTTTAGAATAAGGCCGTCGACACCAAGCAGCCGAGCTGTCGGCAATTAATTATTTTCAGATATCTAGTGTTGTCCGCACATCAATCTATCTTCAAATGACGAAAATAGATTTTAATTTTAATTTTTACAATCATAAAGTTTAATATCCTTTATAAACAAAATTAATTATTTTCAGATATCTAGTGTTGTACGCACATCAATCTATCTTCAGATGACGAAAATAGATTTTAGTTTTAATTTTTTACAATCTTAAAGTTCAATATCCATTAATAAAATGGGTACATCATTCGATTATATAAATTGGAACAACCATCGGCAAACAATTATAATTCAAATTATTTAGTTTCTGAAGAAGTGATTTTAACTTTAACAACTGATCCCGAGTAATAATGTTATAAGACAATATCAAAAACGGCTAAGTAATAAATAAGATTTCAAGTCGCTGATTCAAGTACTACCGAGAAATTTAATTCATCAAAATCCATCAATACTTACAATATCAATAAGCTCAAATCAAATATTTCATCACTTAATGGCTTTCCTGTAAAATTTATAACGCCATTGATCTCGGGGGATTTGTCGACAGCTTTAATCTGCCTAATGGCAATCTATCAATATTCGCATAATCATTTGCTGTATAAGAGCGCTTTAGTAGACCTTGTAGATGATTAAATAGGTGACGTTTAATTAACCTAGTATATAATATAAATTATAATATTGCCTTTTCTTGTATGTTCACATTATGAGCTCAAAGGATAAGATACCTAGTAATAGTAAAGTACTTTGCAAACTCTTTGGAGTCTTTCAGAACTATCCGGACTAAATACGTGCTATTTTCAGATTCTAGAAAAAAGCAAATGAGTTTTGGCAAAATTGAGCCATCTTTTTGCCTTTCAGGCTCATTTTGAACAAGTCTAATAGAAATACAGTAAGAACTACTAGTAAAGTTGCTGATTAGATTCTGCCTTTGGGGCATACCCTTGGAGCCGTCCAGTCAAAAGTTGGTTCCCTCGTTCCAAGTTATCGGCACTTAAAAGGTGCTACATGTAAAGCCAATTGGAAACACGGCCTTTGTACTAAATTAGATTCTGAAGTTAGACCACATTAGATTCAAGCCAGTACCTTCAGGCGTTTTGCCCCAATTGGACACAGCTCTGGTCTTGTATTTTTGTGGTAGATTCGATTCGGTCACGTAATTTGTTTGAAAAAACTTGATTTATAAGGTCGAAATACAGATTCTGGCAGTTAGCTCAAAGGAATGACCCGATTAGGCCTTCAGATCGCGTATGACTGGGCACATGACACACACGGTTCCTTTTCGACAAGTCTACTTATATGAATACATGCATGTATGTCCGCAGGCTGAATACATGGGAATCATATTAGCTATAAGATCTGCTTTGTAAAACGAGCATGTAATTATGTATTCAAGCAAATAAATTATTGAATTTGAATTTGAATTTATAAGACCTTTAACCCTTTAAATATTTTTCATTAGTTTTGTACCTTATGTTTTCTCAATAAGGTTTAAAATATGGTGGCAACAATTCTGCCACTACCAGGTAAAGGTTTAAGACCACGGAAAATGCTCTCTTCACCCTAGCCAGATATCTACTGCAGGAAGACGACCTTTACCAAAGTCAACAGGGAGGATTTGGTCTTATCTGACCTTATTAAGTATTATATCGAAAAGTTTTGGTTGATTGAAATTTGTGCCATTCTTGCAATATACAACATAATGTAGATCGTTTCATCCACGATGACACCCCCCATCAATTTTTGGTCGAGGGGAGTTAGATCCGAGCAATCCGAGCGTCATTATTGTAATGTGCGTGTGCATGGATAATTTAGCGTGTACCGATAACACTCAAACATTAGCAGAAGAATGGTGGGGCGCGTCTTCGTGGATGAAACGTCTTTATCAAGAATAAGACGAGATGAAAAAGATCTACTTACGAGGTACCACATGTGAGGCCACTTGGGGTCATTCAGTTGGAACTTGGAGTCGGCGGCGCGTGGCCGGCCCTTCACCCGGCTGGGCTGCTCTCGCTTCGAGCCGGCTGCTCGTTTGGTGGCGGACGACGGTGCCGGCGCAGCCACCGGGGCGTCCGATGGTTTTGTTTCAGCTAGAGAGAGAGAGATTGAGAATTAATACTGGTTTAGTTTCGCAGAAAACCATGATAGTGAACTGCATTCACTTAGGTGAAAGACATAATTAGATCACGTAGTTGACTGATAATGCGTCATAGGATAAATTCTTTAGGAACTCGCAACCGAGAATTCGACTTCAGGATCTAAGTATGTACTCTACCTTTAAGATCTCTCTATCGTATCAACATGTTTCAATTATAAGTTCGTTCGCTTCAGCCAGATGATGTCCACTGCTGGACAAAGGCCTCACTCAAGGATTTCCAAAACGACCGGTTCAACCGAACAAATCATTCGGGAATCCAAAACAAATTCATAGTAGTTTGAAACTGGCTAAATCACAATACGATTATTCTTACCTGTGGAGGAATTGTCTTATAAAGGCCCTACAACTTCCTCCGCAACGTGAAAATTATAGTGAGGTTATGATTCTCACCTGTAGTTGTATAATCCTGTATAGGCTGAAAATCCCGCTTCTTCCTGGACAGCGCACGCGCGAGTCGCCCTCCAGCTTGCCGTGGTGCGCGTGCGCTTGTGTCATCGACCGCTTCGCCACGGGGTGGTGGTGGAAATGGTAATGGTTGTCGAATATACGGCTCACGCGCGAATAGCCCTCGAACTCACCTCAATCAAATTGTGAAATTTTGGTAGTTATTTTATTTTTGATGATTCGTACCAGTGGAAAAGTCTTTTATAGGCTCAAAAGCCCGCTTTTTCCTGGAGAGTACGTGCAACTAGTTTGCCGCCGAGAATCGCTCTCAACTGTGAAAGTTGTAACTTATCTTTTTTTATTTAGTTTTTTATTTTTCTTACCTGTGGAGGTATAATCTGGTATCGGCTGAAAATCCCGCTTCTTCCTGGACAACGCTCGCTGCTGCTTCGCCCAGCGCACGCGCGAGTCGCCCTCTAGTTTCCCGTGGTGCGCGTGCGCTTGCGTCGTCGAACGCTTCGCCACGGAATGGTGGTGGAAGTGATAGTGATTGTCGAATATCTGGAACAAAGAAAGGTTTTGTTAGGATGTGGATTAGAAAATAAAAAGAATTTAAGGCGAAATACTGTTTGCTCTATTTTTTTTTCGTTATAATATTTTAGGCGCACCCACTGGCCGATAGGAACGGTCTATGGGTTATGTGTACCCACCAAAACCCGACGGTGACAGTTGTAAAGTGTTTTTAATGCCAGAATTAATTTACACTCGTTTCTTACTCGATATTTTAATTACATTTTGATTTAAAATGACAGTTAAAGTCCCAAATTCCAAAGTATTTTAAATTAATTTAAAACAATGGTTTTTCGAATAGATTTAATAAAATACCTACTCATTAATCAAGTCAAAACCGATACCCCAAAAATTATGAAACCTGGAAGTGGAAATGCGCTTAATTACACTCCGTTTATCATTTCTCTTTACCAGCAAATTTGACCATTAAACACTAAATTTATCATTCCGCTGAATGTGCTGTGGACGCTGTTTGTTCGCCAAATTTTAATAATACGCCGATTTTAATTCGGCCCGGCGAGCTATTTCCGAAACGGAGTGTGCGGTAGCGCTCATTTAGCTGTGGTTGCTCGCTAACGAAACAATTGCCATTTCACGCTCGTGAAACTCACGAGCATTCAAGTTAGGATTACCTGATGGCAGCATATATACGGTAGACTAAAGCCGCGGTTATGCATGTAGACAATGTAGAGTTTAAGGTAGGGCGTGAAATGCTGCTTCATTTTGAAGCTGAGAGCCCTCACCTATTGTCCGGTGAAGCTGCGAAAGCTGCCAGTAAAGTTATTTCGAATAAGAGCAGAATGCAAATAGTTACAGAGGTTCTATGCACTTTTTCTGCGTGCGGAATCCTTTCGCAACACCGAAATTTATTCTTCTCTTGACTAACACTTAATGTTAAGAGCGTTTACGCCGTTTGGCGCAAAAACAGTACTTTTTCAACTCGTTACAATCATTAACCAGTAATATTACAAATATGTTATAGGCATAAATAGTTAGGCAATTTCGTCGTCTAAATAGTTAATTGAGAAAATATTGTGATTAGTTTAGTATTTAAGAATTCTATCAAGATAAGTCCACACAGGTTTTGTAAATTTCCACTTTAGCGTCAGTTTACAAGCTGAAATTTTTATAAAAATACTGTGAAAACGATTTAACAAACATTTATATCCTATAGCATAGATCCTTGGGCAAATAGTTATCTGAGAAAATTTTTAGATTTAAGCATTTTACAATAAGAAATCACAAATTAAAAGAACGTGAAATACCCAAAAATCAAAGTGATTTTTTCACCAATATTCTTCCTTTATTCAACACAAAAATAGCTTAATATAATAGAAGAATATCTTATCTAAAATATTTACTTTGAAATTTAAAATAATTCATTGTAATTTTTTTTCTATGAGTATTTGAAAACTACTATAAATCGCCGCGCACGAATCGTTCAAATTCAGTCCGCCTCGAGGCGTTCCAGAGTGAGGTCACGTCGCTCGGTGCTCTGCTGACATGTGTCACGCGTACGTTGATCTTTGACAGGTAGCTGGACTTTTATAGTGTATCCGCAAAATCTTGGTGGTAGATTTTGCGATCACGTGGTAATTAAAATATTTTATTGTTATTTTTCATTACAGTCTATTTTTACTACAAATTCTATTTCAGACGTAATGAAAAATAAAATTAAGTTATTTTTAGCGATGAAACGAAAACGAATGACGAAAATTTGGAACAGCAAGTTATGTATGTATACCTACTAATATTATAAAGAGGAATAATACTAATAATTTATTTGCCATAAATAGGTGGTTACAGAATAGTTAATAGGAATGCTCTGCCAGCAGGGTCCCACCTAGTTGTAGGGGGAACATACACAACATATTACAGTCGGAAAATCTTTGCGGTAGGTACCTCGGATTGTAGTTAGTTGGACAGTGGTCATTTGACCGCCACTTGAATCGTCTCACCCCTAAGCTTTTGGCTACCGCCGGCGCACTAAGCCGGTTGATGCCTAATCTCGGAGGCCCGGCTGCACTGAGTCGCTGACTATACTTTTGCGTCGCGCGTTATATGGTCCTATATGGGGCTCGAGTATGGCACAGTGCTGTGTAGTCGTGGAGCATCCTACTGTTCAAAAAAGCGCAACGCATGATATCACTGAGGCACAGGCTGAGGTAATTCGTGGATACCGCATAGTATCCGCAGTCCGTCTATTCCCGGTTGTGGACACTGACTATGTCCCTACTGAGGATAAATGGGAAAAAAAATATTGTCATTAGTGGCGACGTATAACAATCCTACTAATATTATAAATGCGAAAGTTTGGATGTCTGGATGTTTGTTACTCTTTCACTCAAAAACTACTGAACGGATTTTGTTGAAACTTTACAGTATTATTGTTTATAAACCAGATTAACATAATTATAGGCTATAATTTATGACGATATGTGACAAATAAATTTCAATAAATAAATAAGACGTGTCTAAAAAGCGCAATCTATCGTCATTGGTTAAAATCTACAGCGCTGGACAAACTACTGTTTTTGACGTTCGTAAATATTCATGCGGGGGAAGCCGTGAAACGCCATCTATCAACATGATATCAAACAACAGATTTTACGAACTAAGGAGTAAAACGAGGTCCACGCGTACGAAGTCGCGGGCGGCCGCTAGTTCAAAATAAAACTAATAATATTTGTATTCATCTGGTCTTTCTTGACTTTTACTTTTACTGTAGCTACAACTGGGAAAGTATGTGTCGCCACTGGTGACAATCGATATTATTTATGCCATTTATCCTCAGTGGCGACAAAGCTAGTGTCGACAACCGAGAATAGACGCCAGTTGCGAGGTGACCATAGGTCCCAAGGGGAAATGTACGTGTACGTGCACCACGAGAGGTGGAAACCAAAAGGTAGAGGCTTGAGGATCTAGGCCCTAGAGTGCTGAAGGGTACGCCTGGCCGTCAGCCAAATTTTACGTCGCACCATAGAGGCAGTTCTGCCTGTATTAGAGGAGTGGGTGCGACGGCATGATCGCCTCACACATAGGGCGACCCTGGTTCTACCGAGCCATGAGTGCTTCGGGCCATTCCTCCACCGTATAGGCCGAGAGCCTGTAGATGGTAGTCAGTTAAAACTGCAGTCTTGGCACGTAAGTCACCGCAGCAGACTGACACGCTCCAACAGTGCCCAGCTTAAGCGAACGAGCGGCGGTTGGAAATGACCTCTCCCTACCAATCGGGAAGAGGCGTGACTTAGATAGACAAATTGTTTATTTGTTGTAACACACACTTTTTTTAATGCTTTTAACACACACGTTATGTATTATTGCTATTGAAATGCAATATCGAAATAAAGTTAGTTAGTCAAGAAACACACTAGGTGACACCACTGGTATTTTGTTACACAGGTTAGTAATAATTTCAACAGTTGCAACATAACAAAAGTTGCAACATAACAAAAACAACAGAAGATAAAGATGACTAGCGTTTCAAATAGTTCCCTGCGTCAGAGTGATGTGTGCCGCAGCGATGCAAAAAGCAAAGAGCTCAGTATAAACACTACCCTCAAAAGGGCAGAACACTGATTTTCAGCTTTTGCAAGAGAACGCATGAAGCGTACAGGTACGGAATGAACCCGCTCGCTTTCGGAAACAATATCTACATTAGTATAAAATATATTCTTATGAGACAAATAATCTGATGGTATAGTGTGCTTACTTTCTGTGAAAGTGTTCTTTCACAGAAAGAAGCAGTGGAAAGGGGGAGCGAGAGGCTTCAGCCGACACTCCGGTTATCCGCCGCCGACACCCTGGGCGCAAGAGGACAGCTTATGGTCTCCAACTGTCCCTTCCTAACAGGCCTCGGTCGCTAGACATGGAGGTGTCTCGTGGCGGCTAAGGACGAATGCTAGAGGCAACAGCCAATGGCGATGTCCCGCGTTCCACCATATCACTCATATGGATCATGGCAGAAACAGTCAGGTTTTTAGTGGGTGTAGGGGCTACCCACCTTCTGGTAGGAAGAACCCCACATAACCCACTAGCTGCCCCCGCAGCTGGTGGGTATGAAATTAATGTTATGCATTTTCCGGATAAAAAAAGAATAGTTAACAGGAAAAGTTTGTTTTGAATAGAACCGATTTGAAAAAATCTCTCACCATTAAAATTCATTTTTTTTTCTGCTGAACAAAGGCTGTACAAAATATTCTCACAATACTAAAAATTCTTTGATTTACTATTTGATAAAGAATTTACGTATTTATTATTTATTAGGACTAATGTATACCATGATTTATAATTATGGAGTCGGTGTTGGACTTGACAGCCTGGCACACTTTTACGATGGTGGATCAAAGTATTTTGGTTTGACTATAGAGCGTGAGAACACGCACACAGTCACAATTATTTTAGTGTGAATAAAAATAGCATCGAAATTACCTAAACTTGACATGCCACGCTAGACGTAAACGCTCTTAATTCAGAAATTTTGGATGAATCAATTTATTCATAAGATTTTGAACAATGACTTTATTTTTCCAATAGCAGTATAAATTTTATGATGCATTTATATATTTTTTGTATACAATTTGGTACATAAAGTATTTTAAAATGAACAATGAAATGGATAGATAGCCATCTCATTGTTCATTTGATAACTACTTTTATTAAAAGGCACACCGTTTAAATGATTCAGTACGATCGTATAAAAAAGCGAGTTAAACCTTTCAGTCCAAATAAACGATTAAACCAATAAATATGAAAGATAATGTGACATTCACGAAATAAATAAATGATGTAGAGTGGAGGCAATCATTGATTTAACTCCAGCTCAATATATCAAGTAATTAACAGCTTCTAGAGCCGTAATGAAAAACATCCAATTTGCATACTTTACAATAAATCATTTATAAGCGACCTTGTTTTAACACAATTAAGATTATTTTAAGCAAATTATTTTGTGTCGATGAAGCCTGTCAACCCTTTTTCCCATTTCAACTTAGCGAAATAAAGTTATATTG